GGAAGTAGTGACACTGGCAGAGTCTTGTTTAACATGGTCATAAACGAAACACACTACACTGGGGACAATTGCACGCGCATGCAAGAGAACCTTCCACATGCCCTATGGCCACGAGAATGGTGGAGGTTGGCAGCAGATGATCACTGACAAACAGTGAGATATATTATCGAAAATGATGTTCTATACCATGCACCTCAGTCATACCACACTCCCAGAAATAGAAGAACACGGGTTAGGCGTGGCATTGAACGCCTGCTATAGGGCAAGAGGAAAGCCTAGCTCTATTGAAAGGTCTCCTTGAAGGATTCTGATCGTAGTTCACTCTTGGCATTGAAGTGATAGGAGACGCTTTCAGATGAAGCTAGCTGACAAAAAACAGGCAAACCCGAAGCATCTGTTTAGGTTCATGCTTAAAAGAAAACCTGCGAATCAGGGTTTGAGTTCTGCGAATGGGGAAGATCCCACCAACCTATAGATGGCTGAGATCTTCAACACAAACTTCACCGATCAGTTGAACCATATTCAGGGTATTGCGCAAACCCAGTGCCAGCTGACGGCTTAGTGAATATCCGACGCATTCTTGACTTAGTGCTAAGAAAAACCGAAGTCTTTACGCCTAGGAAGTTCGCCAGAGTTTGACAATATGTACCTCATAGTCTTGAAACAATGTGCAGAAGCCCTCTGCTCACATATATGTGACGGCTTCAGAGATTCACTGGAGTCACACCAACTCCAAACCGAATGGAAACAAGCTATTCTCTCTCGAAAATTCAAAGGATGAGAAAGGAATGACCAAACCTGTTATAGACCAGCCGCATTACTATCAATGCTATCAAATATAATGAGAGGGCTGGTGAACGAACAAATGAGAGCGAACAAGAATAAGAACAAAATACTCCATGAAGCCCAACGGGGGTTTCGGAAAGGCAGGTCATGAGCATCCAGTCTTCTAAAAGTATGAGACATTGGGACATCCTGCTGGGACCGAAAATATCGCAGCGAAAAATATTTCTAGACTCTGAAAAAGCATAGTACCCCACGCCCACCAAATCGCGAAGGTTGCCGAGGTGCATTCATTCTTTGTGTTGCCGGAAATCCTAAACTTTTGAATTCCTCGCCACCTTTATAATTCCTTTTTAGTTTATTTCACTAGATTCTACTTCTTGAATAATACTAATAAAGTTTCTGCTATTACTTCTACTGCCTCTACTACTGTGGGATTTGACTGAGCTTGAAAAGGACCTTACATCCATTGATTATTATCTCCCTCGTAGACAAGCTGTGCCCAATGCATGTCCTGAGACCTGCAAGTTGTTGTTATTACCGTCTCCTCGGATCGGTAACTTGATCTATCTAGCTTATCATCTCTGTTTCATCTCCAAAGCTTACACTTAGTTCCTTTCGCACAGTCTTCATGATCAATTAAAAAACTAAATTATTGATTTATTTACTTAGTTTTGAAATCCTCTTATTAGCAATAGGATTTTTTCCTTAATATTCTCCACTTTTAAGAAACTGATCTCCGGCCTGAAAAATGTGATAGCTTCTGGTTTACATGAACCCTACTGCCCTGGAACAAACGTATTCATTAAAATGACGGGACATACAAACTCATTAAGCACTGCCAACTGACTACAATTAGGCAGTCGAGTGGCCTGACCTACATCCATTGGGTACTACTAAATATATGGAACCGTACCGAAAAAACAAGATTCGAGCTCACAGAAATCAACTGGTCTAGACTAGCTCGTGTAAAAGATATTGGATTTTGGAACTCATCGAAATTTCTAAAAGGCACGCTTAGTTGTTTATTTTTAATGAACGCACAACCAAATGCCAACTGACTAGAATCAGACAATCGAGTGGCCAGACCCCCTTTAACTGGATACTACCGAACACCTGGAACCATACCGAATGAACAAGAATCGAGCGCAAATAAATCAATTGGTTTATACTAGCTCGTGAAAAAGGTATTGGAAATTAGAAGTGATTAGGTATATGAGAAAATCTGAGATTTCTGCAAGATAATACTTATCCAAGATATAAGATGAAGGTAATGAGTATCATATATACAAGTACTGATGGACTGTGATAAATCGACGACTGACCTCATTGTACAAACTGTGTAGCGCAGTTACAAAGCGCCTCTTGCGACTGGGAAATTATGGCGGGAGGTGAGGTTTATTGTTTCTTTAGTTAAAACAGCTGTTTCTAGTTTGATTAATGTGTCGAAATGTCACTATAATCACTCCTTTTAACGCGAAAAATACCAAGTGATAGATAATTACATCGAGTAACGTTTAAAGACATGTATCCTTTTTCCATTTCTCCCAATTAGTTGACAATTGTTATGACTTAGAACCTCTTATTTGGCTTTAGAGTTTCTTATTTGATGCTTCAAACGTATTAAACACGGTACTAGTTAACTGGAGTTTATGCACACCCCTCACGTCTAAAGATTGTTCTATTGGTGTAGAGCGAAACAAATAACTTGGCCAACATGCTTACCCTTCTCTGTACACAAGCAGAACAGAAACTTGTACTTCGAGTTAGCGAAAACTGGTCGTTAATTCGTTATTACGTACAATTTCTTGTGGCCATCGATGCTCAAGAGTTTTTATCATGGTTAAATTTATTCAGCCACCGCATAATAGTTATTAATAATTCTGAAACATTTAAAATGGTCGACAGTCATGGTTATGGCATCCGTTTCTTTATAGAAGTAGGTAATAACTCTGACTACTCTCATCGTTTTCAATTTTAATTGATAAATGTACTTATAACGTGATCTCTCACGACCGTCGAAATTCCCGATTTTTTCTTCTTGGTCAACTCCTTACAGGTCCGAAATATAACTTTGTAAGCAAATAAAAACAGGACTCTCATGCTATATTAGTAGTTGATCGCTCGTGCTACTGCTTGAATAACGAGTTCGTGTTCGTTAGCTTTTTCCCTTTCCTTTGGAGAATCTTGTATGCATTAGCAAGGTTTAAGTAATACTGTAGCATGATAAAGCTGACAAATCTATTGGTGTTCCCCTCTTCAATAGTTTGGTCATGTATACATGCGTCGGTGTTGTCTCATTGATTCGTCTACTAATATAACAGCCCGTCAGTCACAAACTTTATAAGCTGATTCCACGTTTCGGTCTGGTCGATCGTAGTTTTTTCCAAATCTGTTCTTCAGTCAGTATAGCGTATCGTGTATGATGATCGTTTTAGCATACGTAGCACATGACCCAGCTATTGTCGTTAAATACCTATAGACTCACTCAACGGTTTATTATCTTTGGGTGATATACTACGTTTATATTCTGGACTACTCGGTTACTTCACCACACAAGCAATATCTTGGGAACATTCATTGCCAAATACTTACAATCTATTTATGTCCACTGCCACAAGTCTCACAGCAATATAGGGGGCATGAATCTTCTGTGTGCTCACCTCTTCGTTAGGAGCTGTTTAACCTTTAATCAGCCGACGGTTATCTAGTGTTACCAACATCAACTGCTCTATCTCTCTTTCTTTTAATACTTACCACTTCTTATCATCACGTTTACCTTCTTTCCATATACGTTTCAGTCGTTTATCATAACCAATATTCGCAGCTTATGAAGTATTGTATTTTGTATTCACATAACACGTACTGCACTACCTACATGCTGCTGAAGTAGTTGTTACATCTGCTTCTAAATGTGTAATCCAATTTACGTGTCATCAAAAAACGAATGATGACAATGCTTAGGTTATACATCTAATTTGAACAATTCGCAAACCCATAATTAAAAATTTAAATAAGCAACTCATTTTTTTGTGAACCAAACCTTAATATTTTGGGTTGATTAGTAAAACCGAATTCCAAATGTCTAACAGATTGCAAATAATACGTAGTTTGTAATCAAACATACAGTAAGTTACAACGTAGAGCTTTGTACATACTTACATCAGTTCGAGTCGCCATACTACGTTAGCACAGAGAGATGGAATTGTCAGTTCAAATCCCATGGTAGTAGATGTATTAACAGTAATGGCAAAGATTAGGAATCAAACATACGATTAGAGAAATATAGTCCAGTGATAGAAATTTGAAGAGAGAAAAAGTTCATGAGAAATTTAGATTAGAGTTTGAAGGGAGACAAAAAATGGATGTACCTGCGTCAATGCAAACGATTTTGAGCTGCTGTTCATGTCCTCTCACCATCAATTACTATATTTTCACGGATCACAACCGAATAGTCTACACCTGCTAACATGGCTCAGTTCAGTTGTCAGTGACTTAATGGATTTGTGCCATGTTTCGGTGTAATCATATATTGCTTCAGTTCTGAAGTCACCAATAGTTATTTATAATTTACATTACAGGCTGTTCGACTCAAAATCGTTTGCAATGGCGTAGATGCATCCATTCTTTGTCTTCTCTCAGATTGTAACCTGAATTCCTCATGACCATATTTCTCTCCTCAAATTTATTTCACTGGATTATACTCCTTGAGTAATTTCATCGAACGCTAATCTTTCCGATTACTGCTCATATTTCTACTACCTCTACTACTATGGGATTAGAATTGAAAATTTGATCTCTGTGTGTGTCAGTGTGGTATGGCAACTTGAGCTGATGTAAGTACATAAGAAGTTCTACGTTATTTCTGAGTGACTGACTGACTACAAGCTGTTCGTTGATGTTAGGTTGACGCGTTATTTTCTTGTTTGAGCCAATCATATATGAGAAAAAGAAATGTATTTTATTGCTCGTTATTTTACCCTTTATAAACATAATAAATTACATTTTATGCATACCATAAAATGTATGTAAGTACTTACTTTGCCTAAACTATTGTTCTCACTACTAATAATAATAGTCTTCATTACTGGAATATATATTTAATTTTCGTCAAATGTAATAGACCCATTTTCATCTGAACCATTTTCATTATAAAATTATACCATTTGGAGACTCACTCCTTCGATGTATAATTTTGATTTTGATTTTCCTATCAGTCCATGTTTCTGGACCGGGGCCTCCCAGTCAAACTTCCCCAACCAAACTTGCTTTACCTAATACCTCCCGTAACCAAGCACGTGATGCTGAGTCTCGCAAGGAGAAAAAGATTGGACACAGACGTGTTACAGAAGAGGGGACTGTTACGTACAAAAAGGTGAGCTATGTGAAGTTGACTGTTATTAATGGCCTAAATTTTATTCATTACTCGAGATACCGCAATATAAGTAATTTAAGTTACGTTTCGGAATCACTCGTTCAAGATACATTAAAATGGTTTTTCCAGTCTTGCAAGATGGACTTACATCAGCAACAATATCCAAATTTCAAAAATTCTTTTTTCTCCTCATTATCATGATTTTTTGATGCTCTTACTGCTTTGATCACGAAAAAAGCCAAAAATGACAGTTTCATTCAGTTTCATTTTAAATGGCTTCTGGTCTATTGTAAACAGGTTGTTGTCATCCGAAGTCTGGCATAGTAGTCGAAGTAAAGAAGGAAAAGGTGGATATGTGGATTTGAAATTGTTTTTGGGAATTATGAATCATCATTATGCTTCCTTCACTGAAACCCGTATATTTTAATAATCTGTTTCTGCTGTCCTGGTTCTGCTAGTCAGAAAGTCTGTAACTAATAAAATTTAAAATTGTTCACGATCGATTTATGGATTAGCACGATTCACTGATCTGGTCTACATAAGGCTTCTTAATTCAACTTCTACTGCAATGTAGTAAGCTGGTGGTAAAGCTTGCAGTAGTGCGCCTAGATGTGGGATGTGTTTTTCTTCTAATTGCAAAGTACTTTCACAAGACTGGGAGAAGCCTATGCTTGCACTCACGCATGGTACCGAACCGTTAAAAGTAGACGGGAAATTCGTGTTTGGATAGCCGTGCAATTGCTAGTGATAGCCGTAAGTGGTGAAATGGTAAAAATGGAGTGGCTTATACTAATATGGGCCGTCTTCGGCACTCTTGTGATGTTAGTCTAGCTACAAAAGGTTGGATTTACAAAGCGTAAGAGCAGTTTCGTTCTATGCTTCTGAAATCCTCCGAGTTGATGGTAAGAAACTCTCTCTGTTTGATTATCGTTATGTACGAAGGATTGCTGACGTTCAATGGCGACACCACGTTAGTGATGTACAGACTCGACAGCATGTGTTTGGCAGCAGCAACGACAATTTAGCTGATGTCATCATCTTAAAATACTCAATCTGGTGTCTCAGGCATAAACTAGGAATGTCGTCACAGCGAATTCCACATAATGCATTGTTTGTCAAAGCTGGGACTAGTTGAGAAAAGCGGAGAGGAAGTCAATGTATGAAATGGTGTCACGGTTTGAAAGAAAGCTGTACACGATTGGTATCTGTTGGTAAACATGTCGTGTGGATTGGTCATATTCCCTCTTTAGTTTAACTATCGGCTGGCACCAAAGACCATTAAAATATGAATCGACGAACTTACGATAAATCCTCACAAAGGTTTACGTTTCCTAATCGAGACCGTTCAAGTGTGACCAAGTTAAGTCTACTAGTACATTAGTTTATATCCATCCACTTTGATTATTACCAACTCATTCACCATGCGTATATTTATGTGCTTAGTTTGTAGTTACACGTTGCGTGTTGGTCGGTTGACGTTACTCGACTACCCAAACCGAAATATTAGGTGGAGTGGGATTCAAACTTGTTACTACTAAGTAGTAGCTGAAAGTTAAACACACACTAATCACTAAGAGATCGATCTGCAGCACTAAAAAAAAACACAATTCAATTGTTGTTATTGTTTGTTCTCTTCTCTTTGCTATTGTTATTAAGAAAAGTTAACTATTAAAATAGAATAACGATAGTATAACAAAAATTTCACAATGAATCAACATCATATGATACTATTACAATAATAACGTGTATTATCCTTGGAAATGAATAGTGCCTTGTTGTTTTTCTTGTGATTCATATATATATATATATATATATATATATATATATATATATATATATACATATATATATATATATATACATATATATATATATATATATATATATATACTACACATAAGATTCAATAATCATACAGTTATACATATTCATATGTTGTATAAAATTGGATACTTTTACGTCGTCATATATTTTACTCATAAATTTACGTATGTTTTGTTTAAAGAAAAGACACTAAAAAAAAAAAGGAACTAGAAGTTATGGAGATAATTTTTATTTTCCCTTTTTTATAAAATTTTGCTAATCAATCCTTTTGCCTAATAGAAACCTACATCAGAACTTCAAGGAGCTATACAACTTGGCATACAACATCATATTGGTTCGTTACAACAAAAACCTGATCGTGATTTATTATATGGAGATTTTAATATTATTGATACGGTTAATTTTCCTCGTGAAGGCACAAAAACAACACAAGCTCATCCATATTCAGATTTTCGATTTAGAATTTATGCTCCTGTAGCTTTTCGATGTTTCCGAAAGTCTTATAAATTGGATATTCGTGATTTCTTAGTAAGTCTAATAATGTTTTCTTTCTAATTAATATATAAAAAAAGCGTTTTGATCTGTCTGGGACGTATCAGTTGGTTGAACTTTTATCCCGTTATTAATGTTCATGTTCGGACTCAAACCATGTACTTTTCGCTTCAAATACCAACGTATATTATCTATCCCTTAAGCTACTGAATCTGACATGTTTAGCGAGACAACTCAAACCTTTACTAATAGTGAAACAAATGCTGTTCAGTTCATGGACAGAATGATTCTTACATGTGATTCATTTTATTCTAGTATGCTTGAATATAACCTAATTTATCAATCAACTACTTTCTGTGCACTCGACTTCCTGTCACATTTTTTGATACTATCCAGATTGGCTAATGTTGAAGTAAGCAAAGCTAGTTTGAAGGAACCTACACTACTTAGTTAGGGAAATTCACACACGTCAGTCGTTAGACTGTTGTCGTCCCACTTTTAATATGTAATATTTTGTAGTCGCCAACGAATGCTGCAGATAGAAATGAATTATGAATATTTCTGCACAGGCGTTATAGAAATTTTTATCGACCATTGGATGACCTTTGGATTGTCGAAATCGATAAATAGAATGCTAGTTGATAAATAAATGTAGTGATATGATGTGGCCAAAAAAATGACAGTTCATTTTTGTGATTTTAATACAAGCTTCCGAATAAGTAGCAATAAAAAACGTGACCACTAGCCAGGTGAATAGATTGTCTCTTTAGTGAAATAACATGCTTACATGTAGAATATTCAAACAAAATAGACGTTTTAAAATGCCATTGGCTGTTAAAGCAAGTAAGTTTGTGCATCATTCATCCTCTAATCAGTTATGAGCTGATTTTTGTGTGACTAACAGTTTGCTCTGTCGATCTTGATTGTTGATTGATTGTTGTTGACACCCATCATGTCATCATCTGCACTCTTAATTTGGTCAGCTCGGTTTTTAAGCCTGTATCTTTATGAATCTTCTAATTGTTTGATTTTCTTTCAACTTGTTTATGGATTGGTGACTGACTTTCGCGCCAATTTTCTAGAGGTCCTCTGATTTACTTTGTAATGTCTCTATCCAAGACTTCAGTGTCTTTCCAGTCGAAAATCTGTCCACAGTTGTCTACATGACAGATCAATAATATAAGTGAAGATATATCGTGGGGATTGACAGATAACTAATGTTCTAGTGTGTAGACGAAGATGAATTGGCTGGCTTGACGGATATGCCAATCGATCTGTTTGTTCGTACATGTTCACGATAGGATTTTTTACATCGATACATCTTCTTCTTCTATCGTATCAAGATAAACAGTAGAAAAATTATGAACACAATAGTTTCCTTCAATTCACTTTACGTAATATAAGTTTTATCTTCATTTTAACTGCTATTGACATTTTTTTTGGAAAAATTTCCACTCATTGATATCCTCTTACTCTATGTTTGGGCCCTTACACATACCTCAGTCAGTCAGATGCAACGTAGAACTTCGTACGTAAGTACATCACTTCATGTTGCCATACCACATCAGCATAGCGAAGTAATTGTCAATTCAAATCCAATAGTAGTAGAGGGATTAAGGGAATTAGAAGTAATCGGAGAGGTTAGGATTACAAGATATTATTCAAGAAGTATGATAAAATGAGAAAAGTTTAGAAAGTCAAAACTAGAGTTGTTGAAGAACCCAGAAGATTAGGATTTGAGAGAACACAGAGAATAAATGCACCGGCGCCATTGCAAACGATTTTGAGCCATGTCATTCAAGGTCTCTATCCATCGATTATTATCATCTCGCGGACCACAACCAGGTAGTCGACAATTACCGACACGGCTCAGTCCACTAGTCAATGACTTCATGGATTTCTTCCATGTTTTGGTCTGGCCGCCCCTAACTTTCTTCCAACCTACTCCTACACTACAAAACAAAGTTCGTCGAGGCAGTCGGTGGTTCAGCATACGCAAGACATGTCCCAACCACCTTAACTGATGAAGTTTCAATACTTCATCGATTGATCTGTCATCCTTACCTAGTACTCGTTTCCTAACGACAGCATTGCTTACTCGGTTGTCCCACGGTATACGAGCAATGCTTCGAAGACACCTATGATCGAAAACCAGTAACCTACGAATATCTTCTACTCTGACTGGCCATGTTTCACAGCCATATAGGAGAACGGAGCGAACTGCTGCACAGTACACTCGTCCTTTGATTAGAGAACGGATATCACGCCTACGCCATAAGTGACGCAGGTTGGCAAAAGCCGATCGAGCCTTCTGTATCCGAGCTGAGATTTCGTCAGTCACCAGGCCATCAGCACTGATGAGACTCCCAAGATAAGTGAAGCGGTCTACACGTTCGACTACTTCACTCCCTATCACTAGTTCAGGTGCCGATGCAACCCAACCATCTTGAAGCAACATTTTGCATTTCGAGGGGGAAAACCCCTGAATTCATTGAATAATGAAACTGATCGATCAGTGTAATTTCACCCCCAAATATCGTACGCATAGTTAACGTAAAGCCAATTGAGTTGTGTATGTGTACGTGTCTTTTCACCGTGAAAGTCCAATATAGTTATTATTATATATTTATTACTTGTGTAATATATCCTTTCATTCACATCATTGTTTAAATTGATTTCCTTTTTATATTCATTATTTCAAAACCAATCCCTCATCAAAAGTACACTATTAGTCTTCTTTTTTTTGAATTATCAAATATGTACTTTCAAAACTGTATCATTGAATATTGACTATGTAACTCTTTGTATGTGTTCATATGCATGAATGGGTGTGTGTATGTTTTAATAACAGTCGATGCACAATTTGTTGAAAAAAAAAGTATTATGTACACACTAGGTTGTAAGGCTAAATTGTTTATCACTACCGGTAGTTATCATTTTTTTTTTAAAAAAATTAATTTGGTAAAGTTACACTCTAATAAATATTAGTTAATCGTTTGCAATTCATTATCAGTATTCGTTTTGTTAATACGATAATGTCATTTTTTTTTCCATTCAATAAAACTGAATAAACGAATGTAAATTGTTGATCATATCTACTATAAGTATATAAATCAAGTTTATAGTTTAGATTTATTGTGTTTGAATTCGAAACTTCGATTAATAGAATGGCTTTAGATTCACCGATTGATTAAAGAGAGAGAGAGAGAGGGATAGAGAGAGAGAGAACGAAGGAAAGAGGAAGTGGAAAAACTTAAAATAATCAATTACTTCGCTTTACTTATTGGACTTATTGACTATCCAACTTCACGTAAGTGGCTATCGCTCCTAAATAAAATACCTTGGTACGACCGAGAGTAGGGAAATTCCGCTCTCTTTTTCGAAATGCTCTTACATGGCCACGTGTATGTAGCCACTTCTAAAGGAGCTCTATTCAATACCTTCCCGTAGCGAGGATATTGCTTACGAAATTAAGAGGACAAAAAACCAATGTCCGGTGCTTTTTAACCGGGTTGAGTAGATACTGAGTTGAAAAACTCTGGTACCAAACCAATGGTGTCCATGAACTCTCCATTGTTTTGAGAGAATAAATGGCTTATGGACTTACTGCTTCGTCATCAAAAACCATAAGACTGCATCTGGTGACGTTGCTCTACTTACTGCCTTGTGATTTAGACCTCTTGGTCCAAAGGTTTGGGAAGTGTCCCCTCTAAGAAAATCAGTTGATTTCATTTGTACACATAAGCAGTATTTCAGATCACTCACAAATCCAATAATTTGTGTGGTGCCTAATTATTTAGGCGTCCGTTTATACGTTTAAATAAAAAAAATAATGGTTCAGTTGACTCATTGGTGATCAAGTTTATTTATTCCCTAATGTTCACAACGTATTTACAACAACCGAACTTGTACTCTATTCATTTTATTAACATTACTAACTTACTAGTTCTATCTACATAACAACTACCACTGGTTTTCAATCAAATAGTACTACTAAATGCACGTTTTTAGTTTTTTAGTCTTTCAAGGTCATATTTCACATTCCTTAAGCAATAGCAAGTGAATTAATTTATTGTAGTATTCTGTCTCGTTGATATATAGACGAGAATAGGTTGATTTTCTTTTTTGGCCAACATTAGCCTTTTTGTATTCATTCTTGAATGATCTTCAGTCATAGTCAACTGAATCAGACATTCCAAAAGAAGTTAAAATGATTCATATGCACAACTAATCCAATTATTATCGTGGATCTAGTCATCCATTCAGATTATATTCTATTAATACTTTTGTATTACAATGTTGATTATATTTTTTTCTTCCATTCTTATTGCTGCTGCTACTACTACTACACAGAATTCCTTATGTAGTCAATCACTACAAGAACTTTCAAATCCCGGTGCAAGTGGTTCCATTTTTTATATTAGTCAAGATGATGAGTTCATCATTAAAACTGTACAACATAAAGAGGGTGAATTTTTACAAAAATTATTACCAGAATATTTTATGAATTTAATGCAACATCCTCGTACTTTATTACCGAAATATTACGGTCTTTATTGTTATCAGGTAGGTAAATTTAATTGATTAGTTGTTTTTCGCATTACTTACTTACTTACTTACACCTGTTACTGATATGCTTGAATGCTATTACAAGTTCACCTTATTCGGTTAAACGGAACGAAGGTCAACGATACAGTGACACGATAGGCTATTCTAATCTGATTATTCCAGGCCCTGCTAACTAGATCAAGAAGTCTTTGTAAGGCATAGAGAATTTATTCTACAAGCACCCAGTAAATACCAAGTTGCTAGGCTCACAAATCAAGCTTGTTTATACGATGATAGAAACGCTTTTGAGAGAGCCACAGAATAGCGTACTGAAATAATCCACCAACCAATGACAGTCAAGGATTTACCGAGTGTGAAATGTAAGCTAAAGGTCAACTAAGCATCTCTGACGCGAAAACATGGATATTCAAAATTTCAGAATAAATAAAATTACAAAATTAGGAGCTTTTCAAGTAAGTTCTGGGGATCTAATATCATCAGTAGTTACCTTAATAGAGCATAGGTCGCCGTCCAGTATTCTGCAAATTACTCTGTCCGGAACCTTTCTTTCCAATTCTATCCAATTACTGTTTATTCTTTTCATGTCTGCTTCCAATTCTTGGAGTAATGTGTTCTTTGATATTCCTCTTTTCCTTTGGCCTTGGGGATTCCAAGTTAGGGTTTGTCTTGTGACGCACTTGGATGCTTTCTTCAATGTGTGCCTTATTCACCTCCATCGCTTTTTCTTAATTTCTTCCTCGGCTGGAATCTGTTTTGTTCTCTATTATACACCGTTACATGTATCAAACAGTATCTTTTTTGTACATTACTATGTGTATTGTAATTCGTTTGTTGTATATACTAGTATTTTATCATTCTATCCAATTTACAGAATGTTTCGATTTCTTTATCGTTTTTAGTTCATCAATTTTGCGTTCGGACAGTTTGTAAAATCTGTTTCCTTTCATAGTATCATATATATTATTTTATTCAAATGTATTTCAAAATCTGAAGGTGTATTTATAATTAACTGATACAACAGATTTACACTAGATATAGGTCTACATTTCTGACTTTTAGCCAAATTTAGAAGACAAGTGTGATACCACTCGTTTATTTCAACTCAAGTAGAGTAAGCGTAGATACAAATAATAATTGTTTACTCACTTATGACTAGTTTTGAGGTGTAATTCCTGAAACTGATGAGAAATTGTGGCCAGCAGAGTTCACCCATACCAGGAGCAGCCTGATACTATTGGATAATGGCTGCACAATATCACGAATCTATCGGGATAAGATATGCGAACGTGTTGTATGTTGACTCATCGGTTTAAAAGTTGAGCACTTGCCGCGAAACCTGATGATCCTTACTAACATCTCTGATGGAATCATGTATGCTGACTGACGACGAGCTGTCCCATACTAAGACAAAACAATTTTTCCTGTACTCTCTGCATAACACTAGTCAGTCCGTAATGTATAAACTATGAAAGTCTTATCTATTAGTTGAACATCAAGTTCCTTCACCATTTAACGGAAGCTCTTTGCATGTATATTTCGTTTGAACTGAGCAGTAAACAAATTTTGAAGATAAATTTTCTACCCTGAATTTGAAAATGTTTTTATTTTAAAAAAACATTATTTCAATGCATACAACACCAGCCTATAACCTTGAATCATGTTACTTGTTGTTTAACCATAAAACAAATTTCCGATTGAATGTTTACAAACTTTGTTTATTCACAAAAGGAAAGATAATTGATCCTGGTGTTATGTAATTTGATCGGATTTTTTTTTCTTATGAAACCTTATGATTTATCTGTATGTTTGTCTAGTTTTTGTCAATGGTCGAGTGATATAATTTCCATATGGTTTGTATATATATATATATATTTCCAGTTCTTCATTCGCTGCATCTTCTATTATACATCAATGAAATGAATTAGATTCGCTATTTACTTAGTTATCCATTTATCTATTGTGCTCATATTGTCCTACTGGCGTTTGCTGTCATGTGATTGGTCATTTTCACTCTCAGTTGGTTAATTTTATTACGTCTTCAGGTCGTATTCAATAATCATGTATAAATAGAGATGTTCTCGGTAATAATTTTCACTTCTTCAAATATTAAGCCTTACTGGAATATTCATGTCTTCTCTATCCGGTCGTATATGGGGATTGTTATTATTATTATTATTATTATCATGATTATTGAAATGTTGTGCAGATTAGTTGTTGTAGTCGTTCGAACCTCGTAGACTGTACGTGTTCTCAGAAATACCTCCAATCGTCCATAATTTTGAATAAACACAATTCATCTTAAAATATAAATGAGATAAAAGAGATTGTCTTTTTTCGTTACTTCTTGCAAACGATAAATCGGTAAGTAATCACCTTAAAATACAATAGTCTGGAAATGTCCCTCGTTAGTCTAAACATCTTATCCATGAGTCTCAATGTTTTATTTCAAATAGAACTGATATTCATCTGTCTGTCATTAAGATCCATATACTACTACTCTGCAGTCCTTCACTGTTTAACTTTTTGGCTAAGAAAGTAGACCCAAAGGAAGGTAAAAAGGTATGCAGAATTCGCTACTGTTCAATCACACATGTTATCAAAACAGTGTTTAGTTGTATGGTACACTTACGTAACATCTACGTAAAGATGACAAACCGTTTAAGAAACTTCATCAACTAAATTTGGATTATATGACTTCTATTGTTCAAATACTTAATTTCAAAATCAGTTTTAGTGGCACAGATTTATTTATTCTTTACTCTTTTATAACTATGAAGTTTCAGTATCATTTTTATTATTTTTCCATTCTCAGTTGTTATTCGTTTCTTTTGAACTCAATTTCTTATGTTTGATTGTCTATTATTATTGACTTGTTTTTCTGGTTAGCGGTGTTTAGCGATTTAGTTTTCTACGGGGTAAGGTCGCCAACCTCATGCCTAACTCTCCTCCTTTATCCGGGCTTGGGACTGGCAGCAGAGGCGCTCCAGGTGGAGTTATTATCATTGATACTACCACTGTTTTTACCCTTTTGATTTTGTATTGATTTCATCCTACTGATGTAAACTGCATCAACTTACGCTAATACAATTTCCTATCAAGTTGCTTATTATTAACAATGAAATTGGTCATCTACTTACTTACTGCTGTATGCAGTGAGAAGAGTTAGTCGTGGAGATAAAAGAGATATTAGTGGGAGTGGGAAGGATTTGATTCTGACCAATTTAGTCTCGTTGTCACTTCCCGGCTGCCCACAACCTGAACTGATGTACTTACGTACGAAGTTCTGCGTTGTATCTGTCTTTGTAAAAAAGAAAAGTGTATTGTATAACCACTAAGTGGTGTATATTATACATTTTACAAATTATTTAAATTAATAACTATGTACTAACTTGCAATTACTTTTATTTTAATTATTTTCAATTAAATATTATATCCAGTCTGGACATAAAAATATTCGATTTGTCGTAATGAACAATTTATTACCTTCATCTGTACGTATTCATGAAAAATATGATTTAAAAGGATCAACTTATGGTCGTCAGGCTAGTGAAGCTGAACGTGCTAAAAGTTCACCAACTTTAAAAGATCTTGATTTTATGTAAGTTATTATTATTTTTGGTGTTTTTTGTGTTATTTCTATTACAATATTTTTTTTTCAAAAGAAAAATTGAATTCATGTCAAAGTTCATATGTCGTCACTTATGGCGCAGGCGAGATATCCGTTTGCTGACTCTAGGATGATTGTACTGCGCAGTAATTCTCTCCGTCCTACTTTATGGCTGTGAAACATGGCCAGTCAGAGTAGAAGATATTCGTAGGTTACTGGTTTTCGATCATAGGTGTCTTCGAAGCATTGCTCGTATATCCTGGGACAACCGAACAAGCAATGATGTTGTTAGGATACTAGTACTAGATAGGGACGGCAGATCAATAGATGAAATAATGAGACTTCATCAGTTGAGGTGGTTGGGACATATGTTGCGTATGCCTACCCAAACGACTGCTTCGTCCAACTATATTTTGCTGCGTAGGAGTAGGTTGGAAGAAAGCTAGGGGCGGCCAGACCAAAACATGGCAAAAATCCGTGGAATCAATAACAACTGGACTGAGTCATGTTGGTAGATGTAGGCTACGTGGTTGGGGTCCGCGAGACGAAAGTCACCAATGGTTGGAGACCTTGAATGACATGGCTCAAAACTGTTTCCAATGGCGCCGGTGCACTCATTCTTTGTGTTCTCTCAAATCCTAAACTTTTTAATTCTTCGTCACTTTATCTTTGTCTTTTTAAGTCTATTCCACTAGATTCTACTTCTTGACTAATATCTTCTAATCCTAACCTCTCCTACTACTGCTAATACCTTTACTACCTCTACTACTGTTGGATTTGAATTGAAAATTACATCTCTGTGCTAATGTGGTATGGCAACATGAACCTATGTACGTACGTACGAAGTTTTACGTTGCTATTTATTGATATGATTGACTGATATGTCGTCCTATGTTGATTAGTTCATTGAAACTAACTTTAGTTAAAATAATTATAATATATTTATGATGGTATGACATGGAACTCTAGATGACAATGATTAATTTGCACTTCATTCATGTTATTCGGCATATTACGTGACTCCATGTAATTGTCATTACAACCTTATTATTATTATCTCTCTCACCTACCATGTTAATAAACTTATTCTAATAAACATTTTGTATATATTAGTCATTTTTTAATAGTAATGATTTATTTATCTATTACAAATCATTGTAATTTCATATTTGCTCTGGTGTTTTACTGGATGCGTTTTACCTTGAACTTGACCATTTCTTTTGGAATAATTAATTTCGTCGTTAAATAACTGTAGAATCTGAAGAAAATTTATTATTTTTCGTTTATATTCTGTGTGTTTTGACTATAAATGTTTTGAATAACATTTTTTTCGAACGGTCAGTTTTCTTTCAGCAAAGTTGTTTTTTTTTCAACAGGTTGTAGTTGCTAGCCCTCCTCCTTTGTTCGGATTTGAGACTAGTGTTGTTGTTGTATAGTAATTGTTCGACTTATAGGTCACGATTATTTCTGTTCACGTGTTAGTATTTTGTCTTGGTTGTATTCTGCTAAAATTATTCTTGAACTAATTGTCACGATGTGACTTGCGAAGAACTTAAGACCGGAAGAAATATATGTATTTGGAGAACATGTTATAGACTGTCTTCGCTTACATCTCTTCCGGTCTCTAATATACTCTGATTGCACCATGTATTTCAATCTCCGAACATCTGTCGGTGGTAGCAACTTCTGCTTGACGCGACGCTCCGCTGCACATTACATATTACATATGTGCCATCTTGGGAGTAGTATCCACTGCAGTAGTTTACGTTACGAATTGACTGTAGCCAGAAAACCACTCAAAACAAGGAGGCAGCCTGAAGTGTAATAATTGTAATAGCTTTAGTTAACTGTTCTACAATGATTACTTGTTACTAAATGGTTCCAACTTCAACTATAGTTCACCTGTTATAATCAATATTGGTCAAGTGGCTCATTTATGAAATATAGGTTTGTTTACTTGGCTTTAAGCGAAATGTTTTATTGATACATGAGGGTTGGTTCTAATACCAGATTACTCAAACGAACGTAAATAAGGCAGCAATGTTATCAGCTTTAGAGTGTAACCAAATACTAAATTTATAATACTGAATAATTCTCGTTACATATATCTGTTTACATTTGAAACAAAGTAGAATCAGACTGATTAAAAATTTTATTTTGACTGATTATGGTTGGAAATAGTTTTCGTTGATTTATTCCTACATATTTATAATAACAATGGTAACAATAATACAAGTTTACGCAGACACTTCTCTGTACAAATTAAGTTTTTATTTTGATGGTAAGCCCTCCATGAACAATCATATATACACTGTATTTATATGTTCAGTAGTTGTATACTGTTTACATCTAACAAAACTAGTTGTTATACAGTTATTATTATAATTATCAAAAGCGTGTATTACACATGTTTAACGACGATGTACCTCGACGAGCGATGTTTTACTGAAGTAGAAGTAAGTTAACAATGATATGCTCGTCAATTGATATGCATGAAACTATTACGAGTTCACCTTACTCTCGGTAAACGAGAGCGAAGCAATGATACAGTGAGTGACACGATAGGCTATTCTGATTCGATTGTCTCCGGCCCTGTTAACTATAACAAGAAGTCTTGGTAGTGTATTCTACAGGCACCCAGAAAATACGAGGTTGCTGAGCACACAAATCAAGCTTATTTATACAATGACAGAAACGCTCTTGGGAGAGCCACAAAATAACGTACTAAAGTAATACATCAACCAATGACAGTCAAGGATTTTCTGAGTGGGAAATTTAAGCTGAATGTCAACTAAGCGACTTATGCACGAAAACATAAAAAATCCAAAATTAGGACTCTTCTCAAGTGAATTCTGGGGATCTAACGTTCCCGACAGAAAGAAAGATTAGGTCAGTCAAATAAACAGCTTAGGATGAATCTATGAAGTCACTGGTTGCTGGTAGAAACACAATAACTGGTCTTGATCAGTGACTTAGAAGACGTTGACTGACATGTCTCATTCACAACGATTCATTTGTGCTTACTCTAGATCTACAGTTTCAGTATTCTTTTTCATTTAGTTTTCTCTTAATGTCTAATCTTCCATATTTTCATTGCTTCTACATTGGTTTTAACTTTTCCGCTATTCTCCTTGTTAATCTCATCTGATTGCGCTAACGTTATCTGGTAACTTGGGCCAATGTATATTTGTGCCAGAATCCATAAACGATCAATTGACCAAGTACTTCTCTAGTTATTTTTAATTCCACTGATTTATTGATCCTATAGCTTCATTGTTTAAAACAAACTTCCTTCAATCGGTGGTAAGTTTTTAAGACTTGGATGATAAAGGGTTACTTGGAAAACATCAATTTATCGTAATAGCAACGTTTTAATAAGAGTAGAATGAGTTTATTCTACTCTTTATATACATGATAAAATCAAACCACTATATCATCACAACAGTTTTCTATTTATTGAACCATATATAAAAACATATCCAGATACATAGCAGTTAGGTTACGTTTTGAAATCTACCTGGTTTGGGTCCGCGAGACGACAGTAACCGATGGTTAGAGACTTTGAACGATATGGCTCAAAATCGTTTGTATTGGCGCAGGTGCACCCACTCTTTGTGTTCTCTTAAATTCTGATCTTCTGGATTCCTCATCATCTCTTTCTAAATTTGTTTCACTAGATTATACTTCTTGAATAATATCTTCGAACCCTAATCTTCTCCATTGCCAGTAGTACTTCTACTATCTCTACCCTTTTGGAATTATGACTGACAATTTCGTCTGTGTTTATGTGGTATAGCAACCTGAGCTAATGAACGTACGTATGAAGTTCTCTGTTGTAACTAACTGACTGACATTTTAAAATATATTTAAATGATCAAAATACACTATCGTCTCGCTCTTCCGCCCAGTACGATTGAACGTTGTCCCGCTAAGTTGTTCCAATGTTGGTTTTTCCCTGTACAGTGTGTGCGCCTCAGTTTAGTTTCATGCTTTATTGACGTTATTCGATTATAACTTGTTCCAAATACCTTTTCTCCTCAAAGTTTTATCGGGGTATATATGTGTTATGGTATATCAGTTATTTTATTACTGAAATTTTTTCACTGTGTCTCTTCAGTTTAATATTGCTCAGTTGTATAAATCGATAAAAATTCTTAATATCTATGAATTTACTTTAAATTTATTTATTTATTTTTTTCCAGAGAGAATCATCCTGATGGAATTTGGTTAGAGGCAGAAACATATGATGCACTTTTGAAAACAATCGAAAGGGATTGTTTGGTAAGTTGTGAAATATTTTTCACTGAATATTTTCATAGAAATATATGATGTACTTATTTTAAAAGATTTCAGGATTTCAGATTGGCTGTCAGTGGTACTCATCATATTACTCCCAGTCAGTGTCTTTTAAATAATAATAGTAATAATAATAATGCTTTGAAGCACTATAACGAATTCAATTGCCTACTTCAAGCAACAGCAGATGTTATATGTATAGAGTTTAAATACAATGAATATTGTGTTGTGTTCTCTGAGTTGAATGATTTAATCACAGAGCATTTATTGTCAAGAAGAAAAATGCCATTAAAATTTCTTCACAAGTGACTAACATCTTGTTCTGTTGATATGAGACAAGCTGTCAGTCAATTTTAATGAAATTCTGATGAATCATCTTTTTTTTGAAATGTGTACTGATGATGTTTTTTACGGAAAAAACAACGAAAACTTCACAACTGAACTGTTCAACATGTAGAATAATGATTCTCTCTTGAGCTAAAATAATTCCTACTATCCTAAAAATTAAGTGATAAGTTATTTAGGTAATGTATGACATGAAAGATAAGATTCGTAGCTCAAATGAAGGATTTTGGTAGAGTTTCATCCTTTATGCCTAATGGCTTAGTCGTGAAGCTTTTATCGCCCTTCTGTACAACATCATCAGTACAAATGTAGTGTTGGAATCTCCTTCACTTATAATTGACAGCTTGTCCCATTGACCTTGATTGGTCCTTGTTGAACTTCAACTTGCTACTGTTTGCATCCTTATTTTTATTGTCTCTTCCTTTGACAAAGGAAAAAAGTAGTTATCTACAAAATAAACTGTTCTAACGGCGAGAAACGTGACATCCGATAAAGTAAGAGACCTTTTCATCTTTGCCTGCGCTAACACCAACTAGCTGTAAATCTCTATCATATATCTTTCGCTAATATCGAGTCGCGTGGACAAATGGATGATAGTCGCTCCATACCATGTATTGTGTTAAGTTAAACACAAACACGTTGGTGCTGGCTCAGGGGTCAAGAGGTTAAGCATTTGTAAACAAGACCGATTTTCCTGGGTTCGATTCCCAGTTGAAGGTTCTTGGTTGAGTACTGCTGAATAGTCCCATTCTAAGACGAAATGACCGTCCAGTGCATCCAAGTTTTTGATTGCGGTCTAGCTGAGATCGTTTCATGATTATAATCAAATTATTTTAATGGCTGTTACTTTCTCACTATGAAGTTATAAAACTGTTTTATTCAATCTCTATTTCATCATACCAGTACAAACGTCTTAACAACCAATCATATTCTATGGAATTTTTTCCTCGTATTGATTTTTTTACTCCGGAAATCTTGATCCATCTCAAAAAAAAATAGTTCATAACAAGCTTTTATGCAGAATTAACCTCATCAGTATATAGCTGTATTATGAAATTCCATGTCTTTTTTTTCTTGTTCTAAAATACGCTCATTTTAATTGTGACTTGATATTATGCCTTTTTCACTCTTTTCATGAAAGGTACTCAAATCTTTTCGAATTATGGACTACTCGCTTCTATTAGGTATACACAATTTAGATCAAGCTAAACGTGATCGGGTTAGTTATATATTATTTTCTTGATTAACTGAACTTCACGTTTATTAACTTAACTTCCTAATAATATTTTCATATACGTTTGTAAAAATCAATACCATTGTTAAGTTTGCATATTAACCTATGTATATAATAATCATAATAATAATATTGATTCTGCGATAAGAATTTATTTATTATTTTTCACTTTGATTTTTCGTGTTTAAAACTAATAATACACAACCGAATAGTCAGTCAGAACTTCTTACATACCGTACATCGATTCAAGTTGTCATACCACATTAGAACAGAAATGGAATTGTCAATTTGAATCCCATAGTGGTAGAGGTAGTACAAGTATAAGCAGTTCAAGGAGTAATAATCAAGTGAAATAAATTTGATAATAACGTTTCAGTGGCTTCATCATGAGACTTGAAGTTGTTGTATTCAATCTTCAGTAGGGCTAGGAATGTGCACTGCTCAGTAAAATTTCCATACTAGGACGAAACACCCGAGCTATCTTAAACCTTGTACGGTGAATGTATCGGAATAAGTTTGGATTTTGATGAACCGACGTAGGATCACATATATACGAAAGAAAGATAACAAAAGGTGTCGTAAGCAAAACTGGACTAAACATATATGAAGTCAAAAAAATGATAGGCTGAGCCAATCGGACATATCATACGCCTATAAGTGCATGCTCGTTCAAAGTCGATTGATGGAAGCCCGGTATTGGTAGAAATTTCGTGCAATCATCCTAGAGACACTGGTATACTCTTTTAGCCTAATTATCCGGGGATATTTCGGTCCGGTTAGCGAACCAAACTTAATAAATCATTCCTAGTCAACCTACTAAACAGCAGTAGTTTAAGCCCCAGAATTAAAGTCGTTTATATTAGTATCAGATTCAGACGACTGTGTTCAACCCCAACAGAAACTAAATGGGATCGCTTAAAGTTTTCAACTATGAATGTTGATTATCATCTACATTGTATTACTATGCTGAGACTTTTTTCCATATGAAATCCAAATGAAATCACCAGTTTGACAGACTGGCTTGTAAATTCTGTTAAATTTGTATTTACTAATCTTACCTAAATGTTTTATGCTGATGAGGTTGTCAAATAAAAACAGCGAAAACTACTCTTACGCCTAATAACTTATGCCCAAGTCAGGCAAGCTCCACTGACATTCTCCTTCATCATATTAGTTCAACAAATCAAAAAATATTAAAATCGATAACTGTTTCATCTTGCTTCGAGAATACCCACTTCCTTCCTTATATTAGGGGATTGAATGAATACCAAGCTTTCAAGTCTCTCACACTAAGCATATTTAAGTTAATTTTCAAACTATTGTATAACGTTTCCACTTTATTAATATATATTTACTTCTTAATAAATCAGCTGTTCATTATTCAAATCTAATCATTTGTCAATGGTTGAGTTTTTTTTTCTTTCTTCGTTTAAATCAATTTTTCTTTTTTAACATGTGACATTATTATTCAGTCAAGTAACTAAGTGACATTCAGTCAATACACTATAAGTATCAAGTGAATTTTTCGAATAGGGGTTATTTCACTTCTTTTTTTCTCTCTCTGTCTCTTGTTTTCTTGTCAGTATGTACTTGCATCGATCAGCCAACCTCTCTCTCTGTCTATATATATATATATATATATATATATATATATATGCTTGTGTTAGTTACTTTAAGATTCTTATACATTTTATTTGCATTATTTAATAAAGGAACTTAAGTCCTTTCGCCTAGTGAATGAATCCATTGTTCAGTGAATATTTCTTTCTGTCTCTCTCTCTCTTATTTAAAAAAATAATTTTCTAATATCATTTGATCATTTTGACCGATTTTCCGCTAATTTAGAGTTTATTTCATCAATTTTATTTCACTTGGTCTCTCTCTCTCTCTCTCTCTGTGTGTCTCGCTCTATCTCTCTTTCTCCTTCTTACCTCACTCACTTTTATTTACTGCTGCTGCTGCTACTGCCGCTGCCGCTGTTATATCATGCGAAAAAGTTTTATTATCCTTTTTTCTGATTGGTGCTTATTCCCAGTCTTTTATTGATCTCATAGTTAGACTAAATTGTGTGAATAATAAATAATGGGAGCTGATGAAAAAAAAAATCAAATTTATTTGTTATAAATTAAATCATTAAAGACATTCTCATTAAGAAGTAATATAATAAAATTGTTAAATAGCAAGTTAAGGCTTGCTTCTGTTATTTGTTTTATATTATGATAAAGAACACGTAAATTTTACCATTTCACAGTTTGTAATGATATTGTTAAAATACCAGTGATTTGTTATAGATTATTAGTTTTAATGGATTTCTATGACTTCATTAGGATCTTTAAGATTTTATATGCTTGAATCAAACTTGTCAGATTCAGAGCATTGATTATTATTGAATAACTTTGATGTACCATAATTGATTATTTTCACTCGGTTAAATTCCCCTATTATTATTTCGTACTTTGGTGATCTCTTGATAAATTTAATTCAAGTGAAAAGGATATAATTTACTGAATACTGTGAATTCATTATTGTTTAAGGCCATCAATCAGCATTCTCCAGTCTTCTTTGTCCCGGGCGTTCCTTTCTAGTTCTGTTCAATGGTTGTTCATTTTTCTCTAGTCCTCTATGTTTCTTCTCCTTCTTCTTCTTTTACTTTGATAATTCCAAGTGACGGCTTGTCTTGTGATGCATTTCAGTGCTTTCCGCTGTGTGTGTCCTCCTATCCACTTGCACCGCCTCTTCCTGATTTCCTCCTCCTCTGGAATCTGGTTTGTTCTCTCCAACAGTAGGTCGTTGTTGATGGTATCTGGCCAATGGATTCGAAGTATTTTGCGAAGACAGCTGTTCTTAAATACTTGTATCTTCTGGATGATGGCTTTGGTAGTTCTCCAAGTTTCCGCTCCATACAGTAGAACTGTCTTGACATTTGTATTGAAAATCCTCACTTTGTTGTTGATTGATATTTGTTTGGAGTTCCAGATATGTAAAGGTTTTTACATGTTCCAAAGCTTCGTAGTAGAAAATGAACTCGCTTAAAATAGCGCTAATCATAAAAATTAATTTACACTGAAATGATAAATCTGTTAATGTGCTACAACATTTCTCTGATTTTCATTTGTGTTAAGTGTGAAAAACAAAACAAAATAAAACAAATCAAACTGTAAATTAAAAGAATCTTATAGTTTAATTATCACTTCACAATAGGCACCAAATATTGTCCACATTAAATGCGTTATTATACAATATTGAAATGTTAATCGATTGTATAGAATAGATAGAATGTGACTAGCAGCAGAATGCAGGATGCATGTCAACTGAATATTCCTCTATTATCACTTGTTATTATTATTATTATTATTATTATTACTATTAACGGCGGCAGTGGTTCCGTTTTTTATATTAGCACGTGTGCATTTGGAAAGAAGTGCCTTGATATACTGCTAATTTTTGTTAAATTGGAATTGAGGATTCATCTTCTGTTTTTATTCAAGACTGCTGATTAGTTAGCTAGATCCGATCCTATATGCATTCAAATGCTAATGTCCACACTGAAACTGGAATCTAGTGCCTTTTAGTGTGTTATCATCCACGGAGTTGGATGTCTCTTACAGTCAGGCTATGTGTAAAGATTTGTTTAATTTTGATTATAAGCTGACAAAATCAGTCATTATTAGATTGTGATTGTAATATGCCGTGAAAAATATTCACAGTTATATCCGAATTCAATAGTCTAAAAAGATTGATAGTTGCAAGAATTGAGGAGCAGCGCGAGTTCATGATTCACTAACTCGTTGAATGCGACTATATATATTTTTAACTTCACAGGAATATTTAACGAATTCATTGCCTTTTTCACTTTAAACATTCAATGTGTTTATCCATTTAGCTACTGAATTCAAATAGCTTAGTATTATTATTATTATTTCTTACTCAAAATTAAATGTGATTAAATGTTGATGTATAAACTTTTTCTAATCTTCCTCCTTTTTTTTGTTACTTTCACATTACTTAGCTTGCTCAAAAACATGCATCTGCGCAACAGACTCCTGTAAATCAACATGGTAAGTGTTTTTTTATTTAGTGGCAGTGTCAAATTAGGCGTTGGGTTCGCCAATTTCTTGGCCCGTAATATGACTCCAATATATACTATGAAATAAATCTTGACTTCAGTTTCCGCATATCATACTTAGGTGAACCCCGTTTGCGCAATAATAAGACGCCAAATATAGATTCATTAGGATGAACTTATTTCGGGCAATCTATTCGTGCATTCATTAGAACAATCAGACGAGAATACAAGGCGTTAAAGCAAAGCGAAGCGAAGTGAAATGGAAAAGGTCAACGAGCTAATTCAGTGCGACGAAGCATGGACTTAGTATTTATAGTTACAAAAAAATAAGCTAGACACGTAATAAGCGAAGTAATCGGCACGCACACTCGAATAGAAACAACCAAGACAAAAGCGAATAATTGACAAGGTCGAAATGTATGTGAACAACTCAAGAATGCATTCATTAAATTGTCCAAAAGCTGAAACAACTTTATGGGCTCAGCATAAAAGTACACACACCACAGTTTATTATTTATCCTAGTACATATTATGTAAATTAACTTGACAATTTTTATCAAGAAACGAATCCAAAATTCTGTTTACAATGATACATGGTCATGATGACATTCAAATGAATGAATATCTTTTTCCAGTCAAACACTTTCATTTTCTATCATTCGAGCTGTATAAATTCATTACTATTCATTCATTGTATCTCTAAATGACTTCACTTAATGCTCACTTAGTTTTATCTCCCTTAGAGCAGTAGATTTCGCTAATGGAACTCACCTCTTTGAAGCTGTAATCACCATCATAATCTTTGAACGAATCATTGTAGATACTACAGATTAAGCGATTGAATTGATTTTTTTAGTTTGTGGTTGATAACAATGGCACGGACCAGTTCATTCGTTATGTTTTCTGAAATAATTTGAATTTGACCTCAATATGCAGCCTATGACTGAAAAATAACTAATATGATTTTAATCATGGAATGAGAAAGCAGGAAAACACCATTTTACTTACCGTGATTACAGTTAAAATTTTGAATCACTAACTGAGTAGCACTTTTTGATCATCGGTCAATTAGTTGGTAACTGAGTTGAATACAATTTAAAAATACTGTAAAATTAAACTGATCCAAAAAGTTATATACTTACTGTTTCTTAATTAACATTTCCTGTTTTGGTTTTTATTATATTTGTGAATAAGTCAAGTCGATTAACACTTTTGTCCTTCTTTGCAACAATACATTGTTCTCATTCAAGCATGAGTTGTTTGAATTTTTTGTTTCACTTAACAAAATTTATCATATTTCTCTATCTTACTTACTTATGCCTGTTACTCCTAGTGGAGCATCGCCCACCGACCAGCATTCTCTAACCGACTCTGTCCTGGTCCTTCCTTTCTAGTTCTATCCAATTGTTGTTCATTTTTCCCATAATGTAATGTGTTCTTTGGTCTTCCTCTTTCCTATTGGCCTTGAGAACTTGTCTTGTGGCGCAGTTGCGTGCTTTTTGAAATGTGTGTCTTATCCACTTCCAGCGTTTCTTTCTGGTTTCTCCCCCAACTGGAATCTGATTTATTCTCTCTGACATTAGGTTGTTGCTGATGGTGTCTGGCCAATGGATCCGATGTATTTTGCGTAGACAACTGTTATTAAACACATCTTCCGTGGTTCTCCAAGTTTCCGCCCCATAGATTTTGACGTCATAGATTGAGACGGTGTTGAGATTTGTATTGAAAATTGTGACGTTGGTGTTGCTTAATAATTGTTTTGAGTTGCAGATATTCTTCGATTTTAGAAATGCTGCCCTTGGTATACTGGCCCGTGCCTTTATTTCTCTATCTTAACACGATCTATTTACACGTGTACCATAGAATAGGTATAATTTTGATTGTAATAGAGATTTCAGGAAGTATATTTCTTCCTATTTCTATTGTGCCTTCATTGCAGTATTAATATTTATGCGCTAACTTGAACGTAGTAACAACACCTTACGCTCCAAATACTCAACTCCTTATCTATTGAGGTACTGAATTCAAATGGCCATTATTACCTATGTGACTTGTATCAATGTAGTTTTTTTTAAAAGTTCCATCTATTCGATGAAATTTGTGACAGAAACAAATATATCATTCCACTTAATAGTAGTATATACATGTACCATTTAAGACTGATAAAAATTTACTTAAGAATATTAACAAGGAAATCATTGAAACCTTTACAAATATTAAGCTATTTACTTACAGTTTGTAAACTGTCATGTATTCAATCATTTAGTTGTATGTAAATTTGTCTTGAAATGAGAGGCTAACTAAAGTCGTTCATTGATTGTGTATACAAAAAAAACCAAAACAAAAAGCTTTATATTCAAAGCGGTATTTTCTTGAATGTTTTGTAACTTTTTTTTCGTTGTAAATTTTCTTATTTTTTGTTTCACTATTTAGTATTTCATATATATTACTGTTAGTTAATAACTGGTAAACATATCAATGTACAGAACATCACATTAAAATGAAATGATTAAATTAAGGAGAGATAGTGATCTGTATTATCCAGTTCTCAAAGTTAGGTGTAATCATTTACCTGTGCGTTACAGAGATACCTCTCAAGAGCGTGGAAATGACAAAAGCTGGCAATAACTTCATTTTCAGTCAGTTAGTTACAATGTAGAACTTTCGTACGTATGTACGTACATCGATTAGTATCATCTCGTGGACGCTAACCAGGTAGTCTACACATAATTCAATCCAGTTGTCAGTGACTTCATGGATTTGTGTCATGTTTTGGTTTCGCCGCGCTTAACTTTCTTCCAACCTACTCTTACACCACAAAACATCGCTCGACGAGGCAATCTCTCTCTTGGTATATCTCCTTCTTGAATAACTTTAATTTAATCACTCATCTATCGCCTTCACAGAAGCTTAGCCATTTCTTTTGATAAAGTTCCAGTGCATTTTCATATATATTAAACCCATTTATTTTAATTACATAGCATTTCAATTTTCTGTTTTCATGTATCTATTTTAAAGTGAAGAATTTACGCTTTGAATATTTCAATTGGGGTTCAATCGTTAATTATACTTGAATTTGTTAATATTGTAGGTGATGTGATAATATTGCATCTCATCATTAAGTTTCTGTGCATGTGTTCGACAGACTTCCGAAGATATTTTGAATATTTAATCAAGTTTCTATGTGTAGATACAATTTAATCTCAATATTCATTTCTATATTCTTTAATATAATAAACAGGTGATGAACCTTCTGATTTATCACCGAATTCAATTCCAAAAATGAAATCCAACGGATTAATTTCTCATATTATCAATAAAAATAATGAAAGCAACACCAATAGATCTACTTCAATATCGAATGGTATAGCTAGTGATGGTTTTGTTGGTAGTATCAATGAAAACAATAATAAAACAACATCATCTTCACCGAACGGTTCACAATTGCCACCACCACCTACACGTCATGCACATTTCACCAATGAAGCTGAGGATGATGAAACAAAGTCACCAAGTGATAATAATAATAATAATAATAATAATAACAATGAAGCTGATAAGTCAGTATTTCAACGCAATTTACATAAAACACATTCACAAAAACGTGTTGTTGCTTATTGTACCGCTATGGAATCGATTAAAGCAAGTTCCGAACCAGTGGAATTAGAATCAGAAGAACGTGAATTGATTCCGTAAGTTTTATCATTCTGTGTGTTTCTTTTTTTCGTTTTATTATTTTCCTTTAGAGGGAAGTGAAATATTGAAAAATGAATGAGAACGAAATCATAGGACAACTAAGTCTAGTGTCTGCTATAAACAAAAATAATAAACTTTTATCTCAAACGATCTCTATTGTAATTCATTTCCATATTTTTTTTTCATTAAAAACATGTAATTATTAGTGATTTTAATTTCTGAGAATAAGACGGACCATTATCTTCATTGGTATCAGTTTGTATTTATTGGTATTTTGAATTGACAATCCACTGACTATGGAACAATGTAGTAGGCTGGTCGGTTGTTTACTCCTTCTATTGCTACTACTTATAAGTAATCAAATAATGTAATTTGATATATTTTCGCCATTTTTTTTCTAGCCACATTCTATCCACATTGCCATTATCATAATACTTTTAACTGTTATTAGTTACTTATGGATAGAGAAAAAACTTGTGATACACAAAAAATGTTGAATACCGTAAAAAAATCACCTGAGCGTATTTAGAGTTAGTATGTTTGGATGAATTGTGTAAATTTGAATACCTTATTTTATATAAAAAAATCTTTGTGCATTCAGCATTTAACTTCGATCTACAACTTCAGTAAGTTGTGTTAATCACAGGTTAATCTCGTTTAAGAGTCAGTCAGTTACAACATAGAACTTCGTACGTACGTACATTAGCTCAGGTTGCTATACCACATTAACACGGAGACGAAATTGTCAGTCATAATCCCATAATGGTAGAGATAGTAGGAGTACTACTGGCAATGGAGAAGATTAGGGTTCGAAGATATTATTCAAGAAGTATAATCTAATGAAACAAATTTAGAAAGAGAAAGATAGAGATGATGAGGAATTGAGAAGATTAGAATTTCAGAGAACACAAAGAGTGGGTGCACCTGCACCAATACAAACGATTTTGAGCCATATCGTTCAAAGTCTCTAACCATCGGTTACTATTGTCGCGCCGATCCAAACCAGATAGCCTACATTTGCCAACATGACTCAGTCCAGTTGTCAGTGACTTGATGGATTTTTGCCATGTTTTGGTTTGGCCACCCCTAGTCTCGTTTAAGAGGTGATCGTAAACCAAGCAGCACTGGACAACTGTTTGTTTCCGTTTGGGACTCCTCAGGAGTCAACCACCTACGACTCTCAAGAGATCAAAGCCAGGACGTACGGTTAAAGCTTAACCATTAGAATACTGGGTTAACATCCAGTGTTGAAAATTCCAGTTTTATTACACAACTTGACTGTCATTGTATGTCATAAATGACAATTGTTTCATTTCTGATTTGTCTAAAATCTATCGGTCACAATATTTCATTCGAATTTTCGAAACAGTATACGATAAGTCAGTGAGCTGACTTTTGTTTTTAGTTAATCAGTAATTTTAACCACTAAATCTTTTATTTTGGCTTGGTGATTTATGTCACTTTCTTTTCTTTCTGATTTTCCGTCCAATATATTACTTTATCAATTATTTAATGAATATGTGACAAACGGATACATTTTTGTGTATTTGTTTGTTTTGGATTGGTTTATTCTTGTAAATTGTTTGACCTGACCGTAGCTGCTACTTTGACGTGATCGTCGGGCTTGCCTATCGTCATGTTACAACCGAGCTATATTGGCTAGAACATATGTTCCCATAGGTTCTACCATGCCAGGTAGATCGATTGGAGAACGATGAGACTAAAAGCAGCTACTCAAGGTCTGAGGGCGAAGTCTTACTGTTGACTGCAGATGGGTTGTGATTGCAGTAAGGTATTTCCCTCGGACAACTACCGTCTGAAGCCATTTTGCCTTTTCACTTAGGAATGAAGGGGTTAGAAAAGTCCTTTATCTCTACTACTGTGGGATTTGAATTGACACCTACATCTCTGGGCTTATGTAGTATAGCAACTCGAACTGATGTACATACGCACGAAGTTCTACATTGTAACTGACTGACTATAAATTGTTTGATGATTGCTCAGTTTATTAGTCTTTTTATTTTTCAACGTCGTTTCTTGTCATTGATATTATCAATATTCAAAACCATCAAACCATTGATCACTTCACTGATTTCTTTTGTGATATAAGAAATACCAGCACAAACGTTTCGGAAAAAATAAAACACAATGCTTCCAGGTTTCTTAATGCTAGTCTAACATTAATCAGTTCATAGTTTCACTGGTAATCAACAATCTTCACTACCGTGTTACGGATAGTTAAACTTTTACCTAAACAATTACGTGCATACTATGTCATTTATATGGAAAAGTTAACTTTAAACAATTTGGCGTTATAATTTAATGGTTTTACCTTACCTTCTTGTTGTCTAAATAATACACTGTCAGATCTGGTGGTATTCCTGCACGTGATACCAATGGTGATCGATTGTTATTGTATATTGGTGTTATTGACATTTTGCAAAGTTATCGAATTTTAAAGAAAATGGAACATGGTTTCAAATCTTTGGTAACTGATGGAGTAAGTTGATTTTAATGTGTATTTTGTAAGCGGTTACATCTGAATAATTTCATTAGCTAATCAATTTGATTGTGGTAAAGTTTGAGAAAAAAAAGTCTATTTGTTAATAGTTTTTGTTAAGATTTTCATTTTTGAAATTTCATTCAATTTTCAAATCTCTTGTTAGGGAATGTTGAACTCATTAATTAAACTGATATTGTGGAGAATATTTGTAGCTGATGTTGTTGTAGGTGTTGTGATCTGTGAACTGGATAAATTCATTTCGCAACCTTCCTTGTTCGTCTTGCTATGATGATAACAAGGTTTGAAAAATTGAGCTGATGTACACATGGACCAGGTTCTATACTGCGTACGACGTCTAGCAGTACGCTAATCTGTTATGTTGATTTCTTGATGCGAATATATTTTCCTGTTTGTTTGGGTATAGTAACAGTAAAAAAGGATTACGGCTTGCACCTATATGATCATTGTGGGAATCCAAGTATTACAATGACGGAAGACCATCCTTCATCTGCCTATAAACATGGTTTTTTAAATTATGTAGAAACATCACTTTGTGCGAACTCTATCAGTTATCAGATACACCAGAGCGTATTACGAAATACCTATCATTATTATTTCCGGTTTTTTTGGATTCTTTCGAATCACGTTGAAACCTCAACTTTCCAAGTGTTTATGCATAGACGATATACTTATTATCAGATGTTTGTTGGATGAACACTTTAACACAGGTCGGCCTTAGAAGCCTGATACGATTTATGTTGCATGAATTTGTTGCATACATTCGTGTAAGCAGGCAGACTATAGAATGTGAAGCAAAGTAAGGCGGAGAAGGCGAGTGGATCAGTCCAACAAGAAGGGACATGACTAATTACACGTAGAGAAACAAAAATAAGCTAGACGTGATAAACGAAGTAAGCATTGTACACACGCACTTAAATAAAAATGTACAATGTCAAAAGACATGTGAATAATAACTCGGAAAGAATAGGTTGATCGGTTTTTCCACAGGCTGGATCAAGAGCCATATGGGCTCGATATATTAGTGCATACTACAATTCATTGAATTTCTTTTGCACTTGTCGTGAGTTTAGCATCCTGACAAGGCGTAAGCTCATGAACTTTCCATGTAATACTTTATTTGATAGAAATTCAACTTGTGAAGTCAGAGACTTCGATTTTATTCCCTAGTTTAATGTCGATATTAGATTTGTTAAAAAGTAGCTCGAATGTGGTAGCTAACACGTCATCTAAAAGCCATGTTAATTGTCATATACAACAAAATGAGATGAATCTTTATGATTTGGTTAAACTCTAAATACATGATACACTGCGCACTAGTTCGCTCCGTTCTACTATATGGATGCGAAACATGGCCATTCAGAGTAGAAGATATTCGTAGGTTACTGGTATTCGGTCATTGCATTGCTCGCGTATCCTGTGACAGCCGAGTAAGCAATGCTTTCGTTAGGAAACAGGTACTAGATGGCAGATCAGTGGATGACTTATTAAAACTTCAATAGTTGTTAACTGACCCGGATATGTGGTACGAATGCCCAACCATGGACTGCTTCTGCCAGCGATGATTTGTGGTATAGGAGTAGGTTGGAATAAAGTTAGGGGCGGCCAGATCAAAACATGGCACAAACTATGAAGTCACGGACAACTGGACTGAGTCATGTTTGTAGATGTAGGTTACCTGGTTGGCGTCCGCGAGACAATAGTAACCGATGGTTAGAGACCTTGTATCACATTGCTCAAAATGTACTTACTTGCGAAGTTCTACATTTAAACTGACTGATTGTCATGATACACATTCGCAAACTTGCTTAGAGAAATGTAACTCCACTCTAAAACATATTTCCTCCAGCTTCACCGTTGTATTTGATGGTGTTTCAAAACTGGCCATTTTGTCACTTCGAGGGATACATACTAGTGTAGTGAAGGAGAACACAGGTGGGGCAACCGGATTGTATTTAGCGAAAATTACAGAGTTACTCAGTAAAATTGGAAAACCATATCGTAAATCGTTAATTTGAAAAATATCAGTTCATCATATCGAACTGGACCGTTCCTGTTGCAAACATCAATCCATTGTCACTATTCATGCGTTTCATACAAATTCCATTGTGTTGTAACTCTTCCTTTCTTGATCTTCCCCCATCTTCTGCTGCCAGACATTACGTTGACACTCACGTCATATACTACTTATAAGTAGCTCGCACCACACTAGTTGGATTGATTTAAAAACTTTTTGCCAAAGTTGCATTTAATATCAACCTATCTGAACTCATCAAACTTCTAAGATACTCGTCTAGCTAAAAGTGTATCAGTGTTTTTTAAAAAATATTTCCTGTTGATCTAAGCTAGCTATTCCTCTCATTGTATTTTATTCCCAATTTTTCTAAAAACAAAAAAATCAATTCACTAGAAAACCATATCAGTCACACATCCATTATATTATGCTCAACGTTTTCAAGAATTTCTTGGTCGTACAGTATTCAAACGTATACAATCTCGTAAGTGCTAATTGTTTTTCTCATCTGTGTTGTATATATTGTTGTTTTCTTATTCATTTTGAACAATCCATTTTCCCATGTCATATTATGTGTGATTTTATTTTGATGTTGGCAATAGTTTTATGCATTAATAAGCAAAATCCTTCTAGATGAATAATTTTTGCACGAACAATGACCAGTTCATTGAATATTGTATCTTTTTTTCTTGTTTTGTTGTTTTAAACAAACACGTTAACATGTCAGTGTTGTATAAGAGAATAAGTAATAATGCAACCATTAATTGTTGATTGGTTTCAAGTATGTTTATTTTGACGTTTCACATTGTTGTGTTCAATGATCATTATTTCATATAATAGGTATTTTTTTTTACAAAAAAATATCTCTACTCTATTTAGTGTTCTTCAACTGTTTACATTTTGAATGATGTAAATTTTGAAGAGTTGTTTTCATAATTTAATTTTCTTATACTGCATATTTCACAGAATACTAATCAATCATGGTAATGATGTGATTGTATTTAGATTAATCAATATTTTTTACTGATACCCTCGGATTGTGTGTTTACAGGAGATAAGTAGTATAAGAATTCCATAGTCTATCAAATCTCTTTCCATAAAACAAGAATAACTCTGTTTAAAATCTTTATACATAAAAGTTGATTGTTCTTTTTCTATATATATATATATATACATAATTGGAAATTTCTCATAAATACAATATTACAACCCTGTTGGGGGTCGAACCTATAACCTTCAGGTCTCACAGTGAATGAGCCTCCAACCTTCACCGCTGAACTATTTCATAACAGAATATATGACCGCTGTCCAATGCTTTTTGGTTATCAACAGTTGTGTAATGTAAACTATAAGGTATTCACACAATTTAACTTCTAAAAAAATGTTCCGTCAGATATTTATCGTCTGAATAAGTTATTCTTTTTAGTTAGTAATTCTATACAGTACACTATACTAAATCAGTCACAATCAAATGCTTCCTACACATCTTAATAACTCTCTTATCTCCATGACCAACCCATTTTTCCTTACTTTACTACCTGGTGCCGCTGATGCAGATGGTTAGAGTACTCGAAATGTTATTTCTGGTCTCCTGAAACCCTGCTCTTAACTATATGTTAAAGCTTTTAATGCCCGAACTCTGTTCCAAATAGGACAACAGGGTTCCTTAGCTAGGACTTTAGAATCTCGTGCCATTGATGTATGATGCTATTATACAAGAAGATGGAGTTCAGGTTGCCATACTGCATCAGCACAGAGACGCAACTGTCAGTTTAAATCCAATAGTGGTAGCGATAGTAGAAGTGTTGCTGTTACAAGTATGATTGCGGATGAATGAATTGTTTAGATTGATAGTGAGACTCATGATCTGGCGTGAAGACAAGCAGTAAAGAGATGTAAACCATTGTGATCGGTTACGAATCACATATCATCCAATCTGTAATCTCTACCAATCCTTATTTGGATGATATTTTAAGTAGTTGGAATTTAGTAACTGTTCTCTTCTATTCATCTGTTAGTTATATATATATATATATATATATATATATATATATATATATATACATATGTTAACTCAAAGGATGAATTTGAAACTTAGTATGCAAGGATTTGTCGCATTAAATATCTTTCAAATCGACTATTTCAAACAATTTTTCTGTATGTCCTTCAATTACACGAGCTCATTGAATTTTTCACCCCAATCTAAGTAGGCATAATAGTAAAGAGTTACTATAATTGCCCCAAAACGCACCTGTAAAATATCAATTCACAAGTTATATCTATCTGAAGGGCTATTTATATATCATTGAATATACATCATATGTGCTAACCTTTGTATATAATAAGAAAATATCTTTTTATTGTTGTCAGTTTATCTCATGTGATCCATATTTATATATGCGTGTGCGAATTTGTGCTTGTTTCTGTTTTTCTCTCTCTTTTCTATATGATCATAGAACAAGGATCAGATTTCGAGATATTTCGTAGTAATAGAGTATTAGTAGCATTATTCAATATCATCTTTGTGAAATGATTGATTTTTCTTTGTCTCCGCCACTTTCATTTCATTTCATTTCTTCATTAGTTTTCTGTATTGTCATAGTGGATGATAAATAGTTTTCAAATATTTTTAATTTCTAGGTAAACAGTATTTTTGTTTCGTTGAATGTTCGCTCCTTTTTTTTGTGTAACCCATAGATAATCTTTTCTAACTAACTAGTCAACATTATTCAGTGATCTTTAGAATCATTAGTACTTTGTAGTTTTGTATGCTTCAATCGGAAAAAAAAGTAAAACATAAAATCGACCTTTTTTTTTCTCTAGTGTCCACTGGTTAATATTAATAAACTGGAAAAGTTGTAAATTTCTAGGCATTAAAATGTCGATGTATAAATCAATATTCAAGTACCAATATTGTTGGGGACGTGTTTGATCCCCAGAACTCACTTAATAAAGGTTGAAAATTTTGATTTTATGCTTTCGCGCATAGGCTGATCGGCTGACCTTGAGATCACATTTGTCACCTGGAAAATCCTTGGCTGTGATTGGCTGATGTAGTATGTTAGTACATTATTTTTGTGGCTCTCCCAAGGACGTTTCTATCATGTATAAATAAACTCGATTTGTGTGTTTGTCCATCTCGATATTTTGGGTGTTTGTAAGAATTCACTTTCTACGCCATATCAAGACTTCTTCCTCAACTTATTGGGGCCTTGAGACTCTTGGATTAGAGTAGCTTATCGTGTCAATGGATCATTTGTCTTCTCTCTCGTTTACCGACTAAGGTGAACTCGTAATAGTTTTAAGCATATCAATTAACATTCATAACAAATATGTATCAGTATTTTTTTAAAATTCAAACTACTAGGTAGTTTATTTTCTATATCTTATGCTTCTGTCACATATCTATGACTGTTCACTAACACTACCTCAATATAGTATGATACTTTATGATTGATATTTACCACTTGAATTTCTTCTACCAGACATATGCAATTATTCAAAGGTTGTTATTCATACTCACCGTATATATATATAGTGAAATAGCTTATGTGCGCTTTTGACGCATTCCCTACTAGGATGAAACGGTTGTCCAGTGCTTGCTGGTTTTCAACTGATGTCTAATTAACATCATAGTGTAAACCATAAACATGTTTATGTTTATTGTTTTGCAAAAGCTTATTGCATCCATTTGTAGAGCTTACAAAATGAAATCATAAGGTATTTTCTTTATTGAGTACCAGACATGAGTTATTGTTCAATATACCTTGTTAACTTCGATCAAGTAGATCAACTCACCCGATTCGGTACTGACATCAAGATCTACTTCTGACGTGGTAATGAAAATTTTTAGTTCATGTAAATGATTATGGTGGAGTCTCGTTTTATTCTTGGGAAAATTCGAATATTTCGCTTTTACGTGTTATGTTTAGAAGAACAATGAAAGCTCCATGACCATACTATCCAGCTCAGATAATGCAGGATCAGTTTCTCTTATCCTGAAAAAATTTTTACACGTAGCCTAATACTTACTGTATGATTTTAATAAGCACCATTATAAAGTCAAAATAAATAAAGTGTCTGTCTTGTTTAGTTTATTGTGTACATATATTTATGCACTACTGGTTTGTGATGATTGTTAAGTTACACAATTGAAATCATGAATCGATCAATGTTAGACCACCATTTGAAACCTGGGAGCACTGGACCGCCGTTTCGTCAGTGTATGGAGGTTGCGCAACTCCGTAAATTGATCGAAGTTAGATACTAACACCGTTAGATACCGGCTCAATGGTCCAGAGGTTAGGCGTTCGCGCGCAAGACTGGAGGTACCGGGTTTGGATCCTGTGAGGTATAGAAGTTGTGGATGAGCACTGCTGATGAGTCCCATACCAGGACGAAACGGTTGTCCAGTAGTGCTTCGAGGTTTCTAATGGTGGTCTAAAATTGATCGATTCATGATTTCAAACATATATTTTTATCAATTATCCCATACTCTTGATTTATTTATGTAAAAATATTTTAAATCGATTAGTATATATCAAGATTGATTGGTTGTACTTCTTTGCTAGTGTCAACAGATCGTAAATAGATTTCCTTTTTTAAAATAAGCATTATTACTTAGGCTTGTATATTTGAATGATTTCAGTTGATTCATAGTGATGTATCGATTCTTCTCTGTCTCTTTTGGTATCCTTAAGAAAAACTGGTCTTTATCTAATCGATAAATGATTTTCCCAGAAAAGAAAAATATATTAAACTAGTTCAGTATAACTAATCGTAATTATTTTTCTTTTATTTGATAATGATACAAAGGGATAGAAAAATATTTCACTTTCTCTATCTGTGTTTTTAAGACAACAGAAAGATTATTCTATTAGTAGTATAATAAGATTAACTAAATTTTTGTTTAGAATTTCAAAGATACAAACTAATCTAGTTAGGCTATGTTTATTGTGATGCACACCAATATAAAAAAAAATCGTTTTGCTATAACACTGATTTTTATATACATTGTTATTTTAGTGTTATAGTCGAATTGCAAGTGACTTCATATGCATGCATGACCGATAATGTTCGGTTATTAATTATTTTTTTTTGAAAACAGAAAAAACTCATTTCACCATGTGTACTTTCCGATTTTATAGTTTTATATTATTATCGGCTAGTTGTGTATTAACAAGTAATTCATTAATGATGAGTTGAATTATAGGAAAATTCTTCTTAATTGTATTTAGTGTAATATTTTTGATTTATGGTTGTCTACTCACACTTTCTACTCTAATAGAATTTTTACTTAGTAAAATTGTAAATCCAAAAACCTTGTGATCGTTTTTTTTATTGTTAGATGATTTTTCCATAAATTATCACATGAAAAACACTAAAATTCCCGAAATAATTAATTTCTTTAAAAGAAATTCCTAATTAAACTTCAAAGTTTTGCTAATTCTTCCTTTATATATATATATCTATAATTTGCTTTTCAAAGTTTTAAATTTACTTGGTATTCAAGTTTGTCAAGCTGTTCAGCTAAATGATTTGCCGATTGATTGGTTAATATAAATTCATTTTTCAAGAACAGAATGAAGATACAAAAAACTACTGTTAAATGTGTTTTGGTTTTCCCTCAAGGAAGAATATATGGTTTATATGAGGTCGCGCAAGATCTTGTATTGCCCGAAGTTAGATATTAACACTATTGGGTACTAGGTCATCAGTCTAGAGGTTAGGCGTTCGCGCGCAATACAAAAAGGTCCTGGATTCGAGTCCTACTGACCAGTCCCATGCCAGGACTAAACGGCCGTCCAGTGCTTCCAGGTTTCTAATGGTGGTCTAACAATCAAATTACTGATAAACCTCGATGTCTTGCTAGCTTTTTATTCATCATATTTGAACTGGCTTCTAAACTAATAAATTAACCGGTTGATGTGAAATTGAGATGTAACAATTCGAGCCGATATGCAGCTTAAAGCTGTCTACGAATAATTTCACTTGTTAGACGCTCTAAAATATATCTCAAGTGAGTCTCTAGAAACCTAGAAAAAAAGATTGCGTGCTGCGTTCCGATTGAATAATTACCAATCTTGTTAGTGTGTGTGTGTAGTATTTTTCCAGACAATCCTAGAAAATAAAAGTTACGTAGAATCTCGTAAATTCACTCAGCTTTCTGTACTCAATTAACCTGGTACAAACACTTACATTTTGCTCATTTTCTCTGTTGTTTAAATTGAAACGTAGAAGAAGTCTGAAGTTAAAGGTGGCGGCTAGGAAGCGTTCAAGCTTCAGACTTATCAATTCTCGTTGTTACCTTTTGCCAAAATGACCAACAAAGATATTCAAACTTTGTGATACTCAACATTATAAAACTTATTTATCTCATTCCTTTAAACCCGACCTGACTACCCTAAGCAACAATGCAAGCATGTTCGGGATGCGGTTTTCCCCCTCGAAATACAAAATGTTGCTTCAAGACTGGGTTGCATCGGCACCTGAACTAGTGATAGGGAGTGAAGTAGTCGAACGTGTAGACCGCTTCACTTATCTTGGGAGTCTCATCAGTGCTGATGGCCTGGTGACTGACGAAATCTCAGCTCGGATACAGAAGGCTCGATTGGCTTTTGCCAACCTGCGTCGCTTATGGCGTAGGCGAGATATCCGTTTGCTGACTAAAGGACGAGTGTACTGTGCAGTAGTTCGCTCCGTCTTACTTTATGGCTGTGAAACATGGCCAGCGAGAGTAGAAGATATTCGTAGGTTACTAGTATTCGATCATAGGTGTCTTCGAAGCATTGCTCGTATATCGTGGGACAACCGAGTGAGCAACGCTGTTATTAGGACACGGGTGCTAGGTAAGAATGGCAGATCAATAGATGAAATAATGAAACTTCATCAGTTGAGGTGGTTGGGACATGTGTTGCGTATGCCGAACCACCGACTGCCTCGTCGAGCCTTGTTTTGTAGTGTAGGAGTAGGTTGGAAGAAAGTTAGGGGCGGCCAGACCAAAACATGGCAGAAATCCATGAAGTCATTGACTAGTGGACTGAGCCATGTCGGTAATTGTCGACTACCTGGTTGGGGTCTACGAGATGATAATAATCGGTGGTTAGAGACCTTGAATGACATGGCTCAAAATCGTTCGCAATGGCGTCGGTGCATTTATTCTCTGTGTTCTCTCAAATGCTAATCTTCTGTATTCTTCAACCCCTCTAGTTTCGACTCTCTAAACTTTTCTCACTGACTCATACTTCTTGAATAATATCTTCTAACCCTAACCTCTCCGATTACTTCTAATACCTTTACTACCTCTTCTACTATTGGATTTGAATTGACAATTACATCTCTGTGGTGATGTGGTATGGCAACATGAAGTGATGTACTTACGTACGAAGTTCTACGTTGCATCTGACTGACTGACTGATTCCTTTAATAGTAGTAATAGTAGTATTATAGCTTAATATTTTATAGTGTTGCCTTACGAAATATACCATGTCAAGTTATAAGTCATTTATAAGTTTTGTTGAATGCAGAATCTTCATTTAACTACTCTGCTGTAACCGTATAATACATGATATTTATTGATAGCGATAATGTGTATTTGCTTCAAGGATATCTTATATCTTTCTTCTCTAGCTTCTATAATTTGGTCTTATTAATTTTCATATATAATGAGACGTATCATACTGGTTGGCAAATTTCAGTTGTACAACATTTCCACAGTCTTGATTCTTATTCCCACTTGTTATTTGATGTTATCGACTGCAATTCTGTAGTTTCTTGTTGGCATATATATGTGTACATTCTGAACAGATCACTACTTCCTTACTAAGTTGGGCTAAGCGGCTAACAGGTATGAATTTGAAACAGAACAAATCAGGCATGTTGGTGGTTATCCAATGCTTACTTATTTTCATCACAGTTACTTTTTTCATTGAGGATAATTAGTTATGATTCTTCAACTCTTGACTTATAATCATTTACCTTAGTCCTATCCCTCCTATTTGGTCGGCATGAAATACTTTTAATTATGCTGGTCTTTATTATTACTATTATTCAGTGTATTAATGTAGAATCGGAAAGTGCATGTATAGTGGTAGTGTTTTCTTCTGCGTTGATTATGCCCATCAAGTGGTTTCACACACACACTGCTTTATTCCATCAAAGATTGTTTATTGCTCCTTTATTATACATGCGCATGTAATGAGTATAATGGTTTGGATTCTTTTTTTGTATTCTAGGTGATACATTAACGAAAAACAAATTCGAAATAGTATTTTTTTTCTCATTCAAAATAAATGTATCATATTACGTATGTGATAGTATATTGAACGAAGATGTTCAAACCAGATGGTGGAATCAGTGGTTTATTTTTTTAAAAAGACAGTTTTTACTAGCAAATTGTGTAAACTTGTAAAACACTTTGTTCGCGCTAAACATTCGGTTCCGACACTGTTTTTTGCTCAGTAGTAACTTCTCCCTCGACACTATACATACTACTCATAGGCCATGTTGCAAGTAGTATCCACCATATTAGTGCTTAGTTACATTTAAATTCATCGTAAGATATTAACGCAAACATACGATGAGGTCATTAGATTAAAAAGAATATCAAATTTATTACGTTCCTTATACTAACGGAATAGTCTTGTCTGACCTGTTTCGATTACTGTCACGAATTCATAATTCTACTAGATGCAAATATCTCACCTGACAATAGTGTGACAATCCAGAGTACACCTCTAAGTAATTTCTCAGTAAACCTTGAATATTATTCACTATATGACTGAGTAACAAATTTGATTTCTTCATGAAATAAAACTCATTAACACATTTATTTGCAAATATTAAACTGTCTGTTATGTGTAGCAAAACTAATGACCCTTCAAATCAACTGTTCATATAATTTGAAGTAAGTACGAAAAAAAATGTGAATTTGTTATTCGTACTGGTTACAAGTTAAACACTTGAACAGTTCAACAATTTATCTCTAATCGTCCACTGTTCTACGAGTTGTATAGAGATTATGACATCAAAGCGAAGTAGCAAAACATTCAGAGATATTGATAAAATGTATAGATAAACAATAATTCAATATCGAGTAATTACTTATTGAAAAATCATGTCACTTGAGCATGTGAAACATTAAACATTATTTTTCAATAATACCTTTTGTATGTTTGGCCATATTTTTTTTCCTTCTCTCTCTCTCGCTCTCTCTCTCTGTCGATGCATTGATTGATTGATTTTCTTTCTAGTTGACGAACCGAATGTTTTTGGACCGCATACATCACGATTCAGGCGATATGCTCATATGGGTGCGTATTGTTTCCCTAAACCCACACACACACACACACACACACACACACAAATATTACTTACTTGTTGATGTGGTGTCATCCCTTATGCATCCTTATGGTTTTTTCCCTCATATATATATATATATATATATATATATATATATATATATACATATACATATACATATATCTTTTAGCTATTTTACAAAATAGTCACTCATAATCCGTTTTGTGTTCTTCTTCCTATTCTTCTTCAAGTAACCATATTTATTGTCAATGTTTTTTTATTCTTCTTGTTTGTTCGTGTGTTTTGTTACTACTACTACTCCTCATTTATAAACTACTTATATATAAGGTGAACTATATCATCATGCCTTTGTTTATCTACATATACTATCATTGATTTTTCATGATACGCCTGGAATGTTAGTTGCATTATATACTGTTTGTCTATATAATAGAGTAAAATAATCATAATAATCATAGCAGATTTCAATTTATGATTGATTATTTCCTCATTCAATCTCTATAGCTTAGATTTATTATTGAATTATATATATCTATCGTTTAAACTGAAGTTTTTCATTCGTATACATGCATACATATGTATATATATATATTGCCATCTATTTCAAATTCTAGTCTTGTTCTCATGGTAACTATTTTTAATTTATTTATTATCTGTTTGTTTGTTTGTTTGTTTATTTCTTTTTACTGTTGTCCACTAGAATAACGTTGATTTTCTATTTTTTATTTTTTTAATTTTGTCCGAATTTCATATGCATTATTTCCAGTTGTGTGACAATGTGTGCATGACATAGTGTAGTTGTGTTTTACTTCCGAACACTTATCTGATGCAATCAAAAAACAAAGGGCGTTAATAAAAATTCTGAAGTTGTTGTTTTCAAGTACTTTTCCAGTACTATTGTTAACTATCTATCTATGTTCTCCACCCAGTTAGTTGTATAGCTCATAATGAAGCGCAGACGTAATTGATGTATTTGCGTTATACATTCCGAATAAATTGGTCACACATATGTACTGGTCAAGTTTTATATAAAAAAGGGGACTAATTGTTTTAAATTTTGCTCCGACTTGCACATCATATGAGAACTTGATCGAGCGATATTAGTTGGGAAACAGTTTTGTTTTGTTTTTACAAGCAAACTGAATGTGATCCCACGGGTTAAACCGTACTACTATACTCACTAACATACGAATGCACTTACTCACTCAATCTCTTCTTTTTAACCACTAATAGCAACACCATTCAATAAATACTACTGACTTGTGTGTTTCACAGTCAATATGCAAGAGAACAAAAACAAACTCACTTCATTTTTTTTTGTTTTGTTTAATGCGGTTACTCTATTTGTTGATGGATTCTTTTTTCTTGGCTTGTTTTTGTCACTCGGAAATAATTTTTCTCATATCAACTAAGATATTGCCTAGCTGTAATTTCTACAAATCAGTTGACATATATATATATCTATGTATATATATATATATATATATATATATATATATATATAAATGTATTCAAGGTTCTTTTGTGTTGTGTGTTTTTATGCTTGCTTTTTCTATCTCTCTATGTCTCTCTTCAACTTGTTAGTTAGTTAGTTAGTTGGTTAGTTATACATGGGTAATTTATTTTGCAATCTATCATATAACTCTACTACTACCTACAGAATCAAGTTGGTGCATTCTCATTACTCTGTGTAATTTTTAATTAGTTGATGAGAAAACTTTGGTGTGTATTCGTTTCTTTTTACTACTACTATTACTATTACTACTACTACTACTATTAGTACTAGTACTACTACTATTGCTACACCCACACGCATTCACGCCAGTGGTGAATATATATATATATATATATATATATATATATATATATATATATATTACTGTAGCAATTATAGTTAGGAAGCCGAATATAATTCATTATGTGTATTTCTATTATAAACTAATTTCATGTTGGTTTAGCTCAAGCAGCTGTTGGTAAGTGTTGATTTACTACATTGATGACTGTTTTTGTTTTTTTCGTTAATGTAGTAGTAGTAAATTAGTGTTTACGAGTTTATTGTTATTATTATTATTATTATTTATGTGTTCATGTAGAAAAAAAAAACACAACCGTATTTCTTTTTTTTGGGGGGGGGGGTGGAGGGTTGGGGCTCGGTGTATTTTCAATTTGCTATGATTTTCATGGCTTATCTGTAGCACTGTTGTTATTGTTGTTGTCGTTGTTGGTGTTTTGTTGATATCACTTCAAAATACATAAATCATAGAATATTTTGCTGATTTCCATGTTGTAATTCGGCGAATTTTTTTTGTTGTGTGTATCTACACATATTTATTGTAGGTGATCATGTAATTATTGCTAAGATTTTGTATTAGGTGTTTCAATTTTTTATCGTTGATGTTTTATACTGCAATTGAGTAGGTTTTTCGTTCGATGCATGCTCTGTACGGGTTTCCTTGATATTTTTTAAAATTAAATCATAAGCATTATAATCAACTCCGTTCGAAGCTTTTTTTAGGAGTTATAATTAAAGTTGAATGGTAGCTTCCAGTGGAATTCAGGACGCGCATGTGTTTTGTTGTATTTGGGATTCGTCAGTTAAGTTAAAATCAATCAACAGCAACGTAGAACTTCGTACGTACCTACATCAGTTCAAGATGTCATACCACATTAGCACACAGAGATGCAATTGTCGATTCAAATCCCATAGTAGTGGAGGTAGTAAAAGTATTAGCAGTAATCGGAGAGATTAAGGTTCGACGATATTATTCGAGAAGTAGAATCTAGTGAAATAAACTTAAAAAGAAGATAAACTGATGAGGAATTAAGAAGTATAAGAATTGAGAGAAAACAGTGAATAAATGCACCTGCGCCATTGCAAACGGTTTTGAGCCATGTCATCCAGAGTCTCTGACCATCGATTACCATCATCTCGCCTGCTCCAATCAAGTAGTCGACACCTACCAACATGACTCTGTCCACTTGTCAGTGACTTCATGGATTTCTGCCATGTTTTGTTTTAGCCACCCTTATCTTTCTTCCAACCTATTCCTACATCGCAAAACATCGCTCGACGAGGCAGTCGGTGGTTAGGCCTATGTAACACATGTTCCAACTACATCAACTGATGAAGTTTCAATACTTCATTTATTGAGTTAAAAAGAAAAGTTCATCAGATTTCTCAAGTTTGTGGCTGTGTAGTCAATAAGGTAACATGGTAGTGTCCGTAGTGAACAGTACTTGGTTTGAGCCCCGATGCTGATGTGTCCTGGTTTTCCACTGCTAGCCAATAATCCATCTTCAATTTTAGTAATTCAGATTATTTATTGACCTTTACGCGTACATGTTTTCATCTCTACGTCAATTGTTAATTAACAGCAATGTTATAATTATTCGAATATACGTATGCATTTCGATTAATGTTAGAACTATAAACCATTGAATGTCAAACACAGTGGACTTAATGGTTTAACTTTCACCACGAGGCCTAACGGTCCTATGCTCATATAGACAAGCATCACTGATAAAACAATTGAACTATGCTTCATAGTTCATAATAATTACAAATCGTTTTTTTCCACCTGCGTTTTTCCATATTTAATCAATGGATATAAAAGTCTATTACTGGGTCCAGATTAAATTTCGCCTACATTAAACCTGTTTTGGCTACCCCTTTTTTTGTCAAACTCATTTAAATATGAACAACTTACCGTTCAATGTTAAATGTTTTTATTTGCATTTGTTTTTATGCATTAAATATGTCAATATCTGTGGTACCAATGAAAATAAATGATTTTCGTTTTTTTTTTTTTTGAGTACTTAATTCATGGTGATAAGAGTGGTAATAGTGATTTTGCTTTTATTCATAGAGAGAATTTGAATTCTTGTTTTTGACGTTAAGTTTTTTTTAGCTGGTTTTTTTATCAATTTCTTGATAGATGACGTTTTCTTCAAAGTTAAAATTTCACTTAGTGTTTAATGATCTCACTTGGTCCCTTAATCATTTCTTCCGATGTTAATAATGTATTGCTTTTGCTTCTGACCGATTTGGTCTCATGTGCTTTTATGGGTATGAGGGCGAATGTTACTTCCTGGCTGCCCATATCGTGGAAGGGCGCTGGTTGTCAAATGTGGCTTCGGCCTCGTGACTTCTGAAGGAACTTGGCTTTCATCATGAGACGTCATAGCTCTTACGAATGAAGACCTTTTTACTCCCAGAGCAGAGTTTAAATGGATTGAATTATTTTTTCGTGTTAGCGTTTTTTAACGAGTTCGCTTTTTGCGGGATGGGGTCGCCAAACCCAATTCCAAATCTCCTCCTTTATCCGCGTTTGGTACTGGCAGTAGCCCGCCGGAGGGTGTACAGGCGGAGTTGATGTATTGCAACGTAATCGATAAAATTCGATTAATACTAAGGAAGAGTGGAAGTACATGATAATGATCATTTACTACCCAGTGGTCAGTCAGGCATAAATACAATTGATCCGTCGTAGCTCAGATAATTCAGTGATGATATCTCTGACTGTGAAGTTGTGGAACACGAGAGATGGGCGTGTGATTTCAATCCGACTATCTCTAACCACTTTACATGTAAAGCATCTTATAATGTGTTATCTTGAATCTACATAGATGTATTGACCACACGTGGTTGCCTTCAATTGCTGTATATTTTTCATTGGTACATATTTAAAGATAAGAAATTGTTTAATCTTATAAATGCACTTGAGTGTGTTTTTATTAAGAATGTTTTATTTTAAACAGAATAAGAGTAATTAACTACAATTTTCTCATCAGTCATTAAAGGTTTTTTCATCTGAATCTCCTTCTACTACGGTGTTCATTTGAGCCTTTTTTTGTTCACATTTAACTTCAATTTTCTATACAACTTCCGAATAGAATATTATTGTGTCGTTTTTTTAAAAAAATTAAGGATAACCGTGATGCTCGTCTTGAAAAAACTACAATTTTTTTCATCCAGATTACATCACTCACCAGGTACAAATGCATGTGAGCCATACTCTAAGTGTGAAGACTGGTTGTCTGAACCAAAGCAGTTGGGATGAGATTCGAACCTATAAGTAATTGGCTAAACGTCAAACATCGTTATTACCAAGTCAACACTCACTAATAATAATAACATAATAATGATAATAATAGATACTAGTATACGGTTACCTATGGTATAGCTTCTTTTTTAAAAAAAAGATGAATTTCCACGTAATTGCATTTAATCTTAGTCATAGATATTCATGGATAATATCCTCATTCTGTAATAATATCGTTTATCATTCATCAGAGTAAAGTCAACTACAACGTAGAACTTCGTACTTACATAAATCACTTCAAGTTATCATGCCACATTAGTACACACAAATGCAATTGTCAATTCAAATCCCATACTAGTAGAAGTAGTAGAAGTATTAGCAGTAATGAAGAAGATTAGAGTTCGAAGATATTATTCAAGAAATATCATCTAGTGAAATAACCTTAAGAAGAGAAAGATAAAGGTGATGAAGAATTCAGAAGATTAGAATTTAAGAGGAAGCAAAAAATGAATATACTTGCAAGATTACAAACTACTTTGAGCCATGTCATTCAAGATCTGAAACCATCGATTACTATCTCGCAGACCCCAATCAGATAGTCTACACCTGTTAACATGGCTCCGCTCAGTTATCAGTGACTTCATGGATTTGTGATTTATCTTGGTCTATCCGCCCCTAGTTTTCTTGCAACGTACCCTGATGCCCAGGCATCATCGCTCGTCGAGGCAGTCGGTAGTGGGACATATGTTAGGACGGTCACATAATAGGACGAAGCGACCTACGGCGCAGTAGACTCGTCCTTCGGTTAGCAGACAGATATCTCGCCTACACTGTAAATGATACAAGTCCGCGAAAGTTAGTTGAGCTTTCTGTGTCCGTGATGAGATTTAGAAACAGAGCGGGCCATCAGCGCTGATAAGATTCCCAAGATAAATGAAGCAGTCAACGCTCTCAACTGCTTGTAAACCTGTTGATTGGATTATTAACCGATTACAAAGATTTAATCTTCTCCTTGATAATGATTACCTTTGTTTAATACCTTTTATTAAACTGTAAATCGATATCATGTGTAGACATTTATTTATGTACTCTGGTTTAGATAAGTAGATTATCTTTTTTTAAGGATTAGTAATACTACTTACTACTGGACTTTTGAAACTGAATTTAGTATTATGGCATTCTAACCTCTCACTTAAAAACTGGATTACTTTAGCTACTGAGTCACTCACTACTTTATTACTTCAAAGTCATTAAAGGTTAAGAGTTCCATTTGAATTTATATAAGAATATTAGGTGTTTATGCAATGTACTGGTTTAAAATATTCTATACATTTAATATCTATCTATGGTAACTGAATATTTTTAATTTTTTTGTGTATTCCTTTTATGTTGCTGATAAAAAACTGATCTAGTTCCGTTTTATATCAGACTGTACATTATATTTGAATGATTTAATCCCTATATCGCATTATTTACTTAATTACTCCTATTACCCCCAATGGGAGCATAGGCCGCTTACCAACATACTCTATACTCCGCCTTCCTTTCTAATTCTATGCCACTATTGTTCATTCTGTTCATGCTCAGCGTATTGTGTTTTTTGATCATCAGCTATTCCTTTGACCTTGGGCATTCTAAGTCAAAGCTTGTCTTGTGACGCAGTTGAATGCTTTCCTTAATGTGCGTCCTATCCACTTCTAGCGCTTTATCCTGATTTATTCCTCTACTGAGAACTCGTTTGTCACAGTTTATTTTTATAATTAACTGGGGTTTTTGTTTTATCATTCATGGTTTTCGTTAGCACAATACTTGTTTGTTCTTTTTCGGTAGACTTATCATCAGCTCATTTTTTTACATTTTACAGTCTGGTTCACTTGGTTGATTATTTAACTTGACAATGATTTCATTGTGTTCTTTTTTCTTTTGATATACATGGTGTTCTTATTGTATTTGTTGTCGAACATATCATCCGTCGTCTGTCTCTCTCTCTCTCTCTCTGAGTGTGTATGTGTGGTTATGTGCAATAGCTTTTTGTTAGCGTATATATATATATATATATACGGTAGTCTTTTGTCTGAATCCATTTTCAAGCCAACCCTTTTGTCTACCCGTTTTTTTCTTTTGTCGTTTTAAAAATTATTTCATAAAATTAGTTTGTTTTCCTTTTCTATGTTGTTATTTATTGTATGCGGATTCAATTTTGTTTCACGATGTTTTTACTTGTTTTACTTTCTTTTTTCTTTTTTCTTTTTTCATTAACTCTAAATAGCATTGAAGCAGGGTACTTCAAAACGTTTTCATCGTCCAATGGCTGCTATTAAAACTTTAGATGGTATGTATCGTTTGTTGTTGTTTATATTACTTTTTGATTAGAAAAAGAAACGAACATTAACTTTTTAAATTTCATATTTTTAACAGTTAACAGGTGATTGAAATTGCAATTTATCGATACACACATATCAGCTAGTTTTCACGTGTATATTAATGATGATTTATTTTTTTCATGATGTGTTTGCGTCATGTGTGTGTGTGTGTGTGTAATCGATTATCATGCAGTCATTCTTGTTCATATAAACCATTGAAATCAAGTATATAGTTTTATAGATGTATAATACTTGGTTTACTGTTTTACACAATTTATGTATGAGACAGCTACTAATCTCGATCATCTCTCAGGTTGTTTGAACAGAAATAGTAAATACTGGAAGCTTTTTGAACCACTCCTCCATAAGCTTCCATCATCACTATAAAACCACGACAATTGATGCTCAAATAGTGTAAATTAGATGTTTGAAGTTAGTTAGTCAGTCAATTACAATGTAGAACTTCGTACGTACTTACATCAGTTCAGGTTGCCATATCACATTAGAACACAGAGACGTGATTGTCAGTTCAAATATCATAGTGGTCGATGTGGTAGAAGTATTAGCGGTGATGGAGAAGATTAGGGCTCGAGGATATGACATGAGAAGTGTAATTCGGTGAGAAAGATAGAGATGATGAGGAATTCAGAATTTTGACGTTTCAGAGAACACAATGAGTGGATTCACATGCGCCGTTGCCAATAATTTTTCGCCATGTCATTCAAGGTCTCTAACCATCGGTGACTTTCATCTTGCGGACCACATCCAGGTAGCCTACATCTGCTAACATGACTCAGTCCACTTGTCAGTGACTTCAATGATTTGTGCCATGTTTTGGCTTGGCCACCTGTAGCTTTCTTTTTAAAAACCTTACATAACAAAACATCGCGCGTCGAGGCATTCGGTTGTTAGGCATGCGTAACACATGTCGCAACCACCTCAACTGATGAAGTTTCATTACTTGATCCACTGATCTGCCATCCTTACCTAGTACTCGTTTCCTAACTATAGTATTGCTTACTCGGCTGTCTCAGGATATACAAGCAATGCTTCGTAGATATCTATAATCGAATACTAATAGCCTATGAATGATTAAACATCATTCTAATTAGTAGTTGAATCATTTATTGACACTATAGAAGTTTGCGTGTACCACATTCACCTGCAAATCTTAAATTATTCAACTTGCATGTATATACACCAGCATGAAATCATATACTTAACAAAAAAGACATACTATCAATTGCTTACTTGCTTTTGCCTGTTAGCCGTTGCAGAGCGTAAGTCACCGACTAGCATACCCCAACCTTCTCTGTTCTGAACTTTCCTCTCCAATTCTACCCGACCTCTGTTCATTCTTTTAATGTCTGCTTCCGATTCTCGGCGTAATGTGTTCGTTAGTTCTTCCTATTTTCCGTTGGATTGGTGGATTCGAAGTTAGGACTTGCCTCATGATGCAATTGGGTATTTTCTACAATATTCACCTCAAGCACCCCTCCCTAATTTCGTCCTCAGCTGGAATCTAGTTTGTTCTCCTGCAGTAGGTTGTTGTTGATGGTGCATGGCCAACGTATCGTCAGTATCTTGCGTAGACAACTGTTAATAAACACTTGTATCTTGTAGATGATGGGTTTTGTGGTTTTCATTTTATAGGATTTTGTATTGAAAATTTTATGGAAGAGTTAGGGGCGGCCAAAACAAAACATGACAGAAATCCATGAAGAAATTGACGACTGGACTTCGCCTTGTCGGTAGTTGTCGACTACCTGGTTGGGGTCCGCGAGATGATAATAATCGATGGTTAGATACCCTGAATGACATGGCTCAAAATCGTTCGCAATGGCGCAGGTGCATTTATTCTCTGTGTTCTCTCAAACCCTAATCTTCTGGATTCTTCAACCCCTCTAGTTGTGACTCTCTAAACTTATCTCACTGAATCATATTTCTTGAATAATATCTTCTAACCCTAACCTCTCCGATTACTTCTAATACCTTTACTACCTCTTCTACTATTGGATTTGAATTGACAATTATATCTCTGTGCTGATGTGGTATGGCGACATGAACTGATGTACTTACGTACGAAGTTCTACGTTGCATCTGACTGACTGATTGAAAATTTTAACTGTGGTGCTCGTTGACATTTGTTGTAAGTTCCAGTTGTTCTTCAATTGTAAAAATGTCGCCCTTGCTTTGCTGATCTATGTCTTCGCATCTGCATCAGATCCACCTTGCTCGTCATTGATGCTGCTCAGATATGTAGAGATTTTCACATCCTCCAAAGCTTCACTATGAAGTGTGATTTGATTGGTGCATTTTGTGTTGTATCAAAGGAGGTCGCTTTTTCCTCTCTATGTGTATGTTGAGACTTACTACTTCAAACCATACATATCAATACTTGAATAATATTTATTTTAAGAAAGTGTTATAACTAAATTCTTTGGAATGCTTACAATTCACTTGATAGTTTACTAGTGCTCCTTTTTCCCCTCACTCTTTTTTTTTTCGTTTATTATTCTTGTTTTTTATAGATACAATTGATTTAGCTGACAAGTAAGCATAAAGATTAATGTGTGTCATGTTGATTTTCTTGTTTTATTCTGTGTATAGATGTGTGTGTGTGTGTAATGCCTACCTTTTTCCATGCATTTCGTTTTTCATTTTTTTTAATCGTTTCTGTTTGATTCCGGTGAATTTACTACTTTTCACATTAAATTTCTTCGATATTTACACTAATTCGATATCTGTTTTGTTCACATACTATTAGATTCATTGATTAAGAATGAATTTCATATTAGCTGTAAAGTTCTAAACGTTAGGTCATTAATATCGTAATGGTCTGTTTACAATAATTTAGTAATAGGGCTCGCCTCAATGACCAATCATCGGTTGCATCATAGATGTGTTCTACTGAGTAGTCCTACAGTCGAACGAAATCATTGTCGAATGCTTCCCTGTTTCTAATGGTTGTCTTACGTACATATGCCCGTTCGTAATCTCAATAATATTCAATCATCTTCAGAAAATTTTTACAGTGGATCCAAAATATGATATGATATGGGAAATTTGTAATAAGCAGTGTAAAAGGAAAGTGAGAGACGGCCAATTTAAAACTTTACATCAATCCATGAAGTGATTGATTGTCGGGCTAGAGCTCTATACATAGAGACAGATTACCTGGTTAAGATTCGCCGCATGAAAGTCACAATCAGGGACTGGTGATGTTGGATAACATGGCTCAGAATCATTGACAGTGACTTACTTAGTTGTATTCAATCGTTACTTTTCTGTAGTATTGAAATCCCGTTACGCATTCATACATACTTTGTCTTTTCAAATCCTTTTCTCAACACTCCTCTATCTTTCGCATTATCATTGCTGTGTTGCATTATTGCAACTTAAAACCAAAGAAATATCTACTATGCTTAGTCGATTACATTGATAATGATGATGATGATGATGATAACTGATTGGAAGTGATAAATTCAATTTTCATTTGTCTAATTCTTCGTTCTTTTCTATTACAGAGGAACAACTTATGAAAGTTTGAAACCGACAGGTGAGATGTAGTTCATTTATTTATTGATTGATTTGTTGTCTTTTCTTTTATCTCTTCTAAAACGATTATATTCATGCATAATTTCTGTCAATCATTATATCGTTTTTTTCTTTCTGTGAAAAAGAAATATGAATGGATTTTAAAATGAAATATAATATTAGTAGTCTTAGTGGTAGATGTAGGCTACTTACCTACCTGGTTGAGTGAAGTTGGCGAGATGAAAGTCACCAATGGTTAGAGACCTTGAATGACATGTCTCAGAATCGTTTGCAATGGCTCAGGTGCATCCACTCTTTGTGTTCTCTGAAATTCTAATCCTCAGAATTCCTCATCATCTCGATCTTTCTCACTGAGTTACACTTCTCAAATCATATTTTCGAACCCTAATATTCTCCATAACCAGTAATTTTTCTATTATATTCACCACTATATGATTTGAACTGACAATAGCGTCTCTGTGCTAATGTGGTATGGCAACCTGAACTGATGAACTTACGTACATACGTAGTTTTACGTTGTAATTGACTGACTGACTGAGTCTTAGTGGTAGTAGTAGTAGTAGTAGTAGTAGTATTTATTTACTTGTGCGAATTTCTTTGATTGCCAGAATATTAGCATAAATGATACATGTGTTTACATGTAGACAATGTTAACTATGCTATATTCGCTTAATCGATATGTCACTCGGTGTTTGTCGTTAAAAAAAACAACTACTCAAATTTGTTCATCGAACTATTTATATTCTGACAAGACTGTGTTTTTGATTCAATGCAATGTTACAGTGCATTGCTTTTTCTTTTGGCTTGATACATGACAATTCTTGTCATGTGTCCTTCATATTTTTCTATCGGGGACATTTCTCTATCTCTCACTCTCTCTATCTCAACCACTCTCTTTCAACCATAATCCCAAGACTCACTGAATCATCAAATCCAATGAACAAATGTTGTTGACTTTCATCAGATACTTTCTTTTCCCATACAAAATCTTTAATCAACTCAACGATTTCTTTAACAATTAGGTTTTGAGGAGTTTTTTTCCCGCAGATATTCGATTTCATTACCGTTTTTTCTTTCACAACACTAAGCTATTCTTGAAACTTTGAAGGGTTTTTTTCTACAAAAACTGACTGGTTTTTTTCTCTCCAACTCTCTTTATTTGCGTAGTAGACTTCCAGTACTCTATGTTTGTTTTCCTATCGTGTACAAGATACTAAACAATAGCGTTGAGAATCATTTGATGATCTGTCTTAAGTGATGTGCCTAGTCGCACTATCTATCTTGATGCATGAATGTATGCCGCTGTAAGAATAGCTGTCAACTGAAATGCAAGGCGGCTACTTTAAAATGTAAGGTCAATTTGTTTATGCCCTGACACCTTTTTCCTTGCTATGAAATGATACTATAAACTAGGATTATGACTGCATTGGCGCTTATTTTACTATGTTATATATATATCTATATGTATATCATGAATTCATCGTAATGATATTTTTCTTTTCTCTTTCTATTCCATATATGTATATGGTTTGTTTTTCGAATTCTTTATTGTGCTTACTTATAATCATAACCTAATGCTTTGTATTGTACGGACGTTTGTGTGTGTGTGTGTGTGCCTGTGTGTGTGTACGCGGTCATATTTTTCTCCTAACTCAATTCTCACGTGATGTGGGCTATCTTAACTTACCTTCATTCAATCGGAATTTTACTTCACTGTTTACATTTTTAAAAAAAATTTCATAATCAATTATTCCCAAGATGTTTCATCTTTGTGTAGATCAGATCGAAATAGCTCAACTCAAACGCTCATCGACTATACGTCGTTTAATGACATCAGTTTTACAAACTACAATATGCGGTGTTCATCCGAAGCCCAAAGCGGTAACAGTACTTACTCAAGAAAAAGCTCACATTCTAGTACAGCATCAAAACAACCTTATGCGATTAGAAGTAAATTGGGATCCAGTACCACAAAAATTATGTCAATCACAAAAATGCCGTACCGGTACCGTAGTACGGGCGAACTCAATCGAGGGATCTCCACCCCAGACTCCATCATTTCTACCATATCGTTTGACAATGGTGAAGAATCAATCAAAGGAAATTATTACCCTAGAAGATTTAAACCACAATTTGGATACAGATCTAATGGTGTTGTAATGCCTTCATCTAATAATTATTATACTACTGATCAACGTATTGTTGCACATGTATACGATTTATTAGCTGGTGATTTTGACCGTACACCTAGTCAAATTAGTTTTAGTACATCAAGTTCCAGTAATACTAATAATAATAATAATAATAGTATTAGTAATTATTCACAGATTATCGATGGTCAACTTATGCATAGCAATGAAAATAATCATCTACCACCTTCCCCTTCATCTTTATCATCATTCATGCAAAAATCACCTCGTTATTCTTATAATGACAATGATGGTGATAGTAATTTATTATTACCGATAGTTAATAATAATCATCATCATCTATCAGAATCAGATGCCATCCGGACAGAAAATAATCCAATCTCATCATCAACATCAAATCAATTAGATAATTCGCCTTCATTCAACAAGAATGTACAAACAATTTCATCTGATATTGATAAGAATACTGATACATTGAAATTAAACAATGATTCATCTGATTTAATGATATTGAATAATAATAATCATCATCATCATAATCATGATCATAATAATAATAATAGTAATAGTAGTACTAGTAGTATGAAAAAATCTCGACCATATCGATTTAGTCGAATTGATTGTGTTTCATTGGAAAGATTTATGAGTGATGCTTCATCGACTCTTTCTTCGCCTATTTATGATCCTTATGGAATGGCTTTTAAAATTCCTAGTTGGTCATCATCATCTAATGTGGCAGTTGCTGGTGGTACTGCCAGTGCTAGTGCTACTTATCATCGTCATCGTCGTGCTAATCCTCATCCACCGTCTTCTTTATTGATTGATCAACAACAGCCACATCGTCAACGAGTGCCTTCTTCATGTAATTCGATCAAATCATCAACGAGTAGTAGTATGCCACCGCCTGTTCCAGTATTGAGTGAATCATTTGTGAAGAAACGACAATTTCGAAAAATGATGATGAACTAATATTGAACAGATCTGTGTGTGTGTGTGTCTGTGTTGTGTACATAGAGTATATGAGATTATCTTCTGTTTTTTTTTGTAAAAATAAAAAAAAAGACACACAAACCTGAAAACAGAACTTGTCTGTGTATAGACTGATTTATCGATCGATAGACAGATAGATATCAGAGAATCTATTGTAATTTACTACGGGCTAATATTTTTCTAATTCTCAAATAAAATTACCGTCTATATATATATAAATATATATAGTGATAATTAAGTATTTCGGTGAGCTCTTAAACACACACAGCTATCTTATATATAAATATATATATAAATATATGTATATATTTATGTTAAAAAACATATCAAAGATTATATTTTTTGGTATAACCTAGCGAATTGCTGTATCCTACCTATCCTTCATATCTCATTCCCCGATTTTTTTTTGTTGTTGAAAAAAAACCCAATACTATTGCATACTCACTCATCCATTCACTCACGCAGTGGTGCGGTATACTCACGCATTACGTAATATGTTTGGTTTGTCTTTCTCATTTGAATTTCTAATATGAGTATATATGATTTGGATTGTAATGCTGTTGATTGGATCTGTATAGAATAATAGAGAATAATAGATGAATGCTATTGTTATTCTTATTGTTAGTTTTTGTTTTTTTTCTCAGTTTCATTAATCATTTGGTGTCAATTATATTTGACAAACAAAAATAATTAGACTAATAATAATCTCATAACCAGTGCACATATCTAATTGATATACTACTTATATCAGGTTTGTCTTCTAAACTAGAGATTCTGCATTCTAATCTTAATTTTAACTTTGTCTAACAAAAAAAACAATGTTTTGTTGTTTGTTTTTTTTTTTACTTTTCGCTGTTCGCCTTTTGATATACACATCAGTGAAATCTTATCAAAGATTATTATAGTTTGATCATTTTCAATTTCGCTCTCTTTTATTATTATCATTATTATCATTATCATTGTTTTGTTATTCAATGCAAAATCAACTTTGAGTTATTTCTTCTTCTTCTTGGTTGTCGTTGTTGTCGTATGTATGTATGTACTTGTGTATTATATTCGGGAATTTTTCTGTTATTCTCATATGCTCTTTGATCAAGTCATAATAGAGTATATGGAACTGTTTCAGTATAATGGATAATAGTGATTGAAACCTGCCAGTACTATAACTATCCTACAAATTGTGTTATAGTATTTCTTATTCTCATTTATTAGTCTTGTTTGTTTCAATTCATGTTAAGTAGACACACAATGAGTCTATTTATAGTCATGGACTATGAAGTCGAATGACCCTGGGGTCAAACTAACTGCATTGGGCGTTTCAGCTTCATAAATAAATTAAACGACATGGTCGAATCGATAGTGTAAGAAGTACAACTGTCTTTTTCTCTACTGTCATGCACGAATAATCATAATAATACTAATATTTACATTGTTATTACATAATTAACTTATTATAGTAGATGCTTAGAGACTGTTTTATTTTTATATTTATTTTTGAACTTTTATTTAATTCATGAATTCCCCTTTCAATCCCTTACATTATTTTGGTTTTGTACCAATTTATAACTAACTTACTAAGTTGTGTACACATACCCACACAATTTCTCCATTGTGTGTATAATCTTATCGTATAGTCGTCAGCTATTTCAAATATATTATTGTATGAGTTTCAAATTGTACAATAGAGAATTTGATATTGTTTTTTTTTCTATCTTCGTATTTCGAGTGAACATTACGATTAAAAAACAAAAGAGCTCAACAAACGGATAAGCAGTAAGGTGTTGATTGTTATTCGTAAATAGGTCATGGGTATTCTACTATCAGTATAAGTAGATGGTGAACTAATCACTAATTATTGAACTGAAAAGAGAGAGAGAGAGAGCGAAACCATACTACTTATTCCTGTCATTACGGTCCGATCACACGGAGCTCAATATAAGCAAGGTAAATCCTAATTGGCACGAAAACCATATCGATAGAATTTTGTCAATCCCCGTCTTGAAATCATCTGTCTATTTGTGCAAAGTATTGAGAAGAATTTCATTCGTAGATAGTTTTATCAAGGTAACTTGTAAACCATTATTTATCTCTCTCTTTCACTCCTTAATCATCTAAACTAATTAAACTAGAAATAAATTAGTTCTTTTGAGAATCGGTCTTATTGACAATATTCTCAGTGTGTGTGTGTGTTGAGAGGCAGTTCGTCATACAATATAGAAATACAATAGACTTGTTGGATATAATTTTATTTATCCTAAAAAAATCTATTGAGAGTTGCTTAATCCAAGCTATTTGGTTAATGGTTTGCGTTTTTCTGTTGTTTATATTCTTTATTGTTACTGATTTTTTTTCTATTAAAATAAATGTGTATCGTGATTATGGACCATTCACTTAGAAGAGTCAGAAAACCCTGATTCTAAACCAATGATGCACATATGCCCCAGAATCCTGAGGGAATCAGTGTCGTATGGCTATATCATTGTGCGTTAGCTTCCATAGGACTACATCTCCTAACGTTGCTCCATTGTCTCATGGATTAAATCTTCGGGTCAAAGAATGCCACCTGGTTCGGTTTAGGCTTTCGAGTAGTATCACAGCGCATGCAAAAATCCACTTATTTGTGGCGCACAAATATTTTGGTTACTCTTTGTACCAATAATTATGTGCTTAACTAATGTAGATAATCACCAATTAATTGTGAGTTCTGTTAAAGTAGGATTCATGCTGAAGATCAAATCCAACTCTCCTGTTTCGTTCTGTTCAAGTTTAGTTAACTTGATACAACTGCAACACGAACCTTGCTATGATAGCTGGCGTTCGACGTCTGAATCTATAACGCACTAACCCTCTAAAGTGACTACTTGAGCGAGAATGAATAATGAAAATAGGTAGTATATTTAGAACCGAATTATATATATATATATATATATATATATATTACTAATTCTTTTTTTGTGTGTTGGTGAAGCTACATTTTGATAATTAAACTGTCTGCTTCACAATCCAGTACTTGTATAATAACATCTTAAACCTTCTTCTTTACGAAGAATTTTATGTTATGCTTCACTTAGTTGATAATTGATTTGCTCTTCGGTGAGTGTTTCCAAGTTTTGATTTCAACAGTTTCGTTACTACACGACGTATATTTTTTTTATTTTTACCTAAGCAGGATGAAATTTTAGCGATTCTTCTTCTTATTATTATTATTTTGTCTAGTATTATAATTACGGAAATAGTACCGTTAATCGATTGTAATACTAAATAACGATAATTAAATTTTTTCTCTCAGTTGACAGTTATCTGTTGACATTGAATGCTACAATAGCTTCCAATCAGTCTTCTCTAAAATATTTTAGTGTGTATTTCCTTCATTTGTTTATATACTCACTTATTTTCGCCTGTTACTACTCATAGTGTTGTAGCATAGGCCGCTGACCAGCATTCTCTGAATGACTACATCCTGGGCCTTCCTTTTTAGTTCTGTCCAATTGTTGCTCATGCTTCTCATATCTAACTCCATTTCTCGGCGTAATGTGTTTCTCGGTCTTCCTCTTTTCCTTTGACCTTGAGGAATCCGAGTAAGGAGTTGACCTTGAGATCACCAGCCAAAAGCAAGATAACGGCTCATGTAGTTAGCGCGAAATTTATAGTTGAGCGATAGATAACATGAATGTTATTACTAACGAAGTACATTTGGTTCTCGAAATAAGTAAAAAATTTTATTATACAACCAGAAAGTGGATTTACGATGGTACTTAAGGTAAATTATAAAACACCTACTTCCAAGGCAGATTGTTTGTCATAGTACTTGTCGTTTTACATTTCAGCAGTGCGTAACCACGACCTGCGCTCGTGGTAATCGAACCGAAGACTTACGCTATAAACAGCGTAGAACAGATAGTTTTTTTTCGTATGCATTGAATAACAGTTTACTTGTTGAAACTATTTCCTTTTATTTGTCTTTCATCTTACTCCGTTTGCTCCTGTCTACCATTATTACGATTGTCATCATGATATTTCCTAATGGTTATTAGTCAGTGTGGTTGCTTTCTCTCCCATGTTTTTTAAAAAAAGTGCAAGTTCTAACATGGTACATGAGTTTAACAGGTATTGTTTTCTCTAACCTGCATTGTTTATTCGTGAAACTCTACTACTAACTCGTATACACTCACATTAGTCAATAAAACTGTATTTGGTTGTTTGCTGCTTACACATTTTGAGTGGTTTAATAGAAATATGCTCTGTAGGCTTCTCCTTCTTTTTCTTCTTCTGAAGAACATCACCTGGAGAAATTTGACAGCATATTTACAAAACAAACAATCAAATTTATTGTTGTGACCTACCATATTGTTAGCTATATATATATATATATATATATATATATATATATATATATATATATAAATTCTAAATGCTCATTTCTACCTACATTTTATACTCTATAATACTATCTACAAAGACACTGTAAACCTCACAATTCAATTAACTTATCAACTGCAATTCGATTCAAGAAAAATGTAATTTTAACTTTATCAACCTTTCATTACATTCTTTTCTGTGTATAACCACATTTCAAATATCTTGATTGTATGTATACACAATATAACCTAATGGTGTTGGGCTATGTATGCTCTCTGGTGTGTGTGTGCGTGTGTGTTCACCATTGATTTCCATCTGCTCTAACCTCCTGTATATATTCCGTTCTCATTGATTTTATTCTGTTCACGTGTAAAAAGTAATTAATTGTCTCTCTCTCTCTCTCTGTATATATTTTCCAGATAGTCGTCGTTACTGATATCAATCAATCAATAAATCTCTGTGTGTATTGGCCAATTTCTAAACTGATCTCATGAAAAGTTAATCAATATGGACGTGTGTGTATCGTCGGCTGATCAATCAATTGTTTGTTTTACTTTTGACGCATTGTGTTTATTAGTTACGAGATTGTGTTGAACGTTTATTTTTGTTCGTTCGTTCATTTGTTTCTTTGTTTGTTTACAATCTTTGCCTTGTCATTCATTGAACGCATTCAAGATTTTCAAAGTGCATATACATCTATATATTACAGCAGTGTAACACCAACAATATTATTATTAATGTGAACATTATTTTAAAAAAGACCGCCTATAGTTCATTCAAATCATTGCTGTATATATATATAAATATATATAATATTTTACTTTATGACATATCTTTCAATAACATCATTATTATACAATTCTTTTGTTTTTGTGTGTGTTCTGACACTTTAGATAATAGAATCTCTTTCTCTTATTCATTTTGTACATTCCATCTTCATGGGACTATTGTCCTTTCTTTTTCTTTATCTTCTCTCTCTTCTAGTAAACTCAATAAATCTACATGATGACATCATGGATAAAATTTATTTTGTCATTGTACACACACACACACACACCTACACACACGCACACTTTGAATCGCCAAATGATCAATCAGTTTAGCTCTACCAAAAAAAAGAAAATTCAATGTTCAATTAATTGATGATCACAGTGTGAATTTTTTGATTTTTTGTTTTTCTCATTTCACCATTTTGTTTTATTTCTTGTTCCTTATTACTTACTCTCTTACTAACCAACTTGTATGGTTTTGTCCCGTTCATTCATTCACTCATCAGTTTAAAAAAAATTTTTTTTTAAAAAAACTAAAAGAAATAACTCTTTCCAAGGATAAAGTATGAATAATAATCCTTTCTGGACATTCCTTAGTATATATATATATATATATATATATATATATATAATATCAATTTTCCCATTGTGTATAGTTAGTTAGTTGACCATTGTATGAATGCTTATCTCCTGTATAGTATATATTGTGTTGTTTGTTATGTAACAGTCCAATTCAAACATTATTTACTTTTCTATTGATCTGTTGTGTTATGATCTATTCCGTTTCGTTTATTTATTTATTCAATGACTGATTGATTGATTGATTGAAACATTTGTTCTTCGTAATTGTATCACTGGTGCTTCTACTGCTGTCTTTTCGTCATTGTCATTACTGTTCGTTGTTGTTGTTGTTGTTGCTGTCGGTGTTGTCGTTGTTTGTCTCATCGCATCGTCTATGCGCAATGTACTTATTATTTACACTCTGCCTACTTACATTTTTCATCCCTATCATCATCATGATCATTAGTCCAATTTGTGTTACACTCATCATTCACGAGGATCGCATTTCTCGTTTTCCTCTCTCTTTCATACATACATACATACACACACACACACACTATTACCCCTTGACAGTTATGAACAACGACGATAACGGCGATGTGGTAAATTAGCAGCTTACAAACACTACACGCACATGTTATGATTATGATTATTATTGTTATTATTTATCCTGTACACTTGAATCTGTCAGTTCTGTTTGTTGTGATGTTTTGTTTTTCAACTGGCTTACACATTAATCTCTGTTATGATTGTACATATATATTTATTTGTTTTTCTATCTGTTAGTCAATTGTATTAATTGTTTCATTTCATTTCAGTCATTCATTCATTGATTTATTGATTTAATCATGCTTATTTACGTGCAAACAATCGCTACATATATTTAAATATATTAGTTAGTAGTACTATTAAGTAGTATCTTCTCTTCCAACCAATAGTCTTTATCTGTTCTTTACTATTATTATCTTATCACATATTTTTGCCACCTGTGTTACTCTACTACTACTACTACTACTACCAATATTATTATTATTATTATCTGGTAGGAGATCTTGTTCTCTACTTCCTCTTCTTTGTTTTTCCTTATTCTCTCTCTGTATACTGATACATTAGTCTATTTCTTATAATTAGAATGTCTTGAATAGTTATTTTTCATGCAAACAAAGAAGTAAATCCTACTTCCTATAGAAAGAACTGTTATCATACCGTATAATTAATTCACTTTGTCTCAAAACACAATTCTATATATTATAATTTCGTTTTTTTCTCTCTCTCTCTTCTCTACACTTACTTATACAACACTGTGTGTTTCTTTTTTTTTGCTCGACAAGCTAATCTCATTTATATTTACAGAATGGATCATATTATTGTTATCATTTGAGTAAATTTTGTTCTTATTCACTTGATAGTCAGTCATTCGATGAAAAGATAGGTTGATCGTATATTGTTAATAATAAGTTCTAAAAGGTACCTAAGATATTAATCAATCGCACTGTTGAAACTAGACGACCATTCTTAAAAATTTCAAGAGTTAATTTATTACGTCATGCTGCTTCCCCTCGTTTCAGACTTCCTATATAGCCTTTTCAACTTCAATAAGTGTGTTAGAGGATTTACATCAGGTTAACTGATGAAGATTATGGGTGACCGATGTTTGACTGAAGGTTACTTGAGCTGATCCCTTTCGGTGTTCTGCCCATTGATCCAATCTCCTGGATTGGTAATGAATGATAAACCCATCCTTTTCCGAGATAGTCTCACTAATGGTCGGATCCGTAATTCAAATCTACTTGATAAGTCTTAATAGTTGTCTACTGTTACCTATCATCACTGCGTTTTCCATCGCTCTTTCTTTCGCTGCTCACCACTGTTCGTGATCATTGCGTAGTCAGTTTATCAGCCTGCTCTTAAACTGACTCAGCTCCTAATGTTCGGAGCCAGACGGGATGATTTTCCGAGCATCTATCAGTCCGATAGGTGCTACTGAGATTCATCGCTTCGTCCTAACCTTATGGTTTACATTACTAGCAAATATCACTGCTGTTTCCTTAGCTTTTTGGATATCGTTCCAAGCTGCCTCCTGACGGGCATCACTTACATAGTTTCCGAACTGCTTTTCTAGTTGCTCCAGGAATATATTCTTAACTTTGCTATCGTTAAGTAGAACAGTAAGGGGTTTCCTTGCTGTCTTTCTTACGTCCAGTTAGACACAGACAAATAGGCATTTATTTTATATCATGATCTGAATGTAAACATGTACTACAGAATGAGTGGCAGTCTTCCATCGATGGCTGATTGCAATGTGATCTGGTTGTGTCCAGCGATTAGTTGACTTAGGCGGTCATTGTGTCAAAAGATGTTTTTCCTTAAGCCTAAAGTTAGAATTTACCTGAAATAGGCGGTTATCTGAGCATAGTTGTAAGGATGGTCGCCATTATCTGTTCTTTTAGTCGCTACACTGTAACATACACTCAGGCGTCCTTCAGTTTCAATTAGACTACCTACTTTAGCATCAAAATCACCGGCCAATAATACTATACCAGAGCGCTTAACCTTTGGAGAGGGTTGGAAATCTTTCTGTAGAACTCATTTTTTATCTCGTCCGAGCTGCAGTCAGTAGGAGCATAGGCAGACGCAACGACGAGTATCCCCGTCTTTCCGAGTCCTGCTTACTCGGATTGCGCATAAGAGACTGTCTACTGGGATCCAGTCTAAGGAAGCTAGTTTAGCCTTATGATTTGTTTCAATACCTACTTCAGCAGTGGGGCTTCCAGATGTACGAAGCGCAAATCGTGATGGTTCCTTATCTTGACAAGGAGAGGTCAAATGAGTGATTCTACTCGGGTCCTATATTCGCGTTCGGGAGACGCAACGTACACCCATGGCACGAGACTCCAGAGTCCTAGTTAAGGAAGCCTGTCGTCCCATTTGGCACAAGGTCTGGACATCAAAAGCTCCAACATGCAGTTTAGAACGGGGTTTCAGGAGACCAGGAATATTGTTCTGTGTACTCGAATCATTAGGATTATCGTTGCGAGGCGATTAACGTGTACAAGAAGAGTTAACCATAGCGATAAAAGAGCTATTAAGAGGTAGATAAAGGCATTGATTTTGAACAAGTTGATCTCATATACTATTACGGGTATGTGGGCGGATCTCACTTCCCGGTCGTCCAAACCGTGAAAGTGTTCCTTGAGGTACGTGAAAAGGAAGTTGGATTAGCATTGATCTTAGCGACCTGTGAGCGCGACCACAAAGACCGACAGACAACTACATGAGGCTGGTCAAGCAGGGCCATTTTATGAAAAGTTTTGAAAATGTTAGATCTGCTCTTGAAAAGGTCCTAACGCCGAGGATGGAAGTCCGTGAGGTGTGACAATTTTAGACCCCATCATTTCTAACCCCTTCCGTTGTGAGAAGGTAGCATCACTGCAGATGCTGGTTGTTTGACGGAAACACCCGTGACATCTCTCTACAATTAGCAGTACAACTTCGCCCTCAGACCTATGGTTGTTGCTTTTAGTCTAACCGTTCTCCATTTAACCTGCCTGGGATGGTATGACCTAAAGGAACATGTATCCCAGCCAATAATATAGCAGAGTTGAGTCTTCACGATAGGTAAGCCAGGCCACCTCGATTTGATAACTATTTGGATTATCAGGAATCATTGAACAGTTGTTTTGTCATTCTGTGGGACTTACAAACAGTATATATAAAGACCGCGCTAAGGATTGAACCCCGAATCCTTAAATCATTGAGTTAATAATCAATGGTTTAGTTTCTGAGTTAAGTTGGTTGGTAGCGTTGTGCAACCAATCATCTTTTCGGTTATCGTAAATGATCTGGCTGATTTTTCTTGATAAACTAACAAAAATCGATTATTTATTATGCAACTGAAGACGCATATGTACGAATAACACAAATCGATAACGAGCACTATGCTTATCCTAAGTACCTAATATCTATCTAGCCAAAGGTAATTCATGGATTCTGAAAATAGATTATTCAAGAAAATAAATAAATAAAATCTAATGTACAATTTTAACGAGCTTAAAATGGTATGATAAAAATAATTCTTACTGATTTAACAACAGGAAGAATTGTTCGATAAGATTGATCAAATCATGTTTTCGTATAAAATATTGAACAGCTGATTATTTTACATAACAATATCACGTCAACAAATTGTCACGAGATAAAATAAATCAATGAAATGAGTAAAAACGAAAATGGATGGCACCAGCAAAAATTTTCATGAGAGAGTTATGGAAATTGTAGTACATTATTGAAATCATGAATCAATCATTGTTAGATCACCATTAGAAACCAAGAACCACCAGTGGAGCTTAACCTTGTCGGGTGTAGGCAGTAGCTGCAGAAGACAAATAGGTGAGGTTGCATAGAACCTTAGATTGATCAAAGTTAGACATGAACACCATTAGATACTTGCTCAGTGGTTTAAGGTTTAGTCGTTCTTAGATTATACTGAGGGTCCTTAGTTCGAACCCTTTGATTAGCAGGAGCAGTGGATGCGCACTGCTGATAAGTCCAGTACGAGGACAAAACAGCCGTCTAGTGGTTCCACAATTCTAATGGTGTTCTACTAATGATTGAATCATTACTTCAATAGTAAACAGGAACATTGTATACATAAAGAGCAATTAAATTTCTGAAGATTTATATTGGAATAAACAAGGTATGTATACATTTCACCCTTGTCGATAATGAACTATATCATCTAGGACATTTTAATGACTTTTACTAATATAGGTGACAGTTATGTAATCATCTTCAGTCTCTTGCTGACTTGATTTCATTGTAATCAACACTGTACTGGGTAGATAGTGCATGAGTAACTCAACTCACTCAGTCGTCGTTATTTTAAAATCTCATCGTTTGGTCTGTACTTTGACTATTTTACATTTTTCACTTGTTCAGTCCTATTACTGAGTACATGCTAATTTACTTACGCAGCTTTAAATAATATTTAGTCGATAATAGTATAGATTTGCAGTGATTTAATTGGTGTTTACTTTAGAGTTGATACAATTTATCAGGTAGTAAAAGTAATCCGAACACTCATCTGGACATTATCTTTCATAATCAATCAGGTACAAATAAATAATGTTCAAATTTTCTGGTGGTTGTTGATGAAATTTAAAAATGCACTGTTGATAACTTTAATACAGAGATTTGAAAGCTGTTTTTTAAGAATGGTGTTAGGATCTATTTTCAGTCAGTCAATTACAAAGTAGAATTTTGTACGTACATAAATCAATTCAAGATTGCTGTACCATACTAGAGCATTGACATAAAATGTAAGTTACGGTAGGGATAGATGAAGTAATGAAACTTCATCAGTTGAGGTGGTTGGGACATGTGTTACGAATGCTCAACCACCGACTGCCTCGACAAGTGATATTTTGTGATGTAAGAGTAGGTTGGAAAAATGGTAGCAGCGGCTAAACCAGAACATGGCAAAAATCCATAAAGTCACTGACCAGTGGGCTGAGTCATGTTGGTAGATGTAGGCTACCCAAATGGGGTCCGTGAGATGATAGTAACTGATGGTTAGAGACCTTGAATGACGTGGCACAAAATCGTTTGCAGTGGTGTAGTTGAATCCACTCTTCGTGTTCGCTGAGGTTCTAATCTTCTGATCTCTTCATCACCTCTATCTTTATCTTTCTAGAGTTATCTCACTGAATTATACTCCTTGAATAATATCTTCAAATTCTAATCTTCTCCATTACCAGTAATACTTCTACTTTCTCTACTACTATGAGATTTGAACTGATACTGGTGTCTCTGTGTTAATGTGGTTATGTCAACCTTAACTTATGTACTCATATACGAAGTTCTACGTTCTAACTGACTGGGTAGCAGTATTAGTGGTAATAAAAAGCGATACAAACCAATGAAAAGTTTTTTTTGTAAATATACAATTCTAGAAGCTTAAAATTTTAGACGAAGCCAAAATTCGATGAATATTTTCATTGTACTAAATTGATCCCAATGAATAAAATCATTCTATCATTTGTGTATTGTATTCTCTTAGTGAACAAAATCAAAAGCACAATAACCTTGATAATTTTCAAATCGATCTCTATTCAAATCGAAACTATGTTCTTTGGTTATTGTTAAACAGAAAAAAAAAACACGTTCTTATTAGTAATGTAGAAATTATCAATTAAATTTTTATAAAGTAACTTCTAATTATAGTATGATAGGTGTTTATTTCATCAATTCATAAATAATCGAGTGAGTGTAGTTTTTGTATATATATGACAACATAACAAATTGTCAGAAAACTATCCCAATTGTTTTTAGTTACTAAAAATATAATAAAGTTGCATTCGATTCATCCACATTTTCTAAAACAAAAC